TATTAGTATTTTAAATTTTAAAAACAATCAACAAAGGAAAAAAATTGACCTAAACCTTCCACCAGTTTATTTATGCCCAAGCTTAAATAAAAAGCTCACAAAACTCTACTAAATCTCTTGTGCATGTTTGAAATTACTTTGAATTTTCTAATTATATTTTTTTGTTAAATTGTTATTTTAATTATTTTGAGCTGATAAATGATGATCGCACTGTTGCATTACGCAGAATGTGGATATTTTACTCCAAAATTTGATTGTTTTTAAGTGAACTAAGTTGCGTTGCGGGTATAAACCACTAACCGACCCATTTCGGAACCAAATATTCGGTTGCCAACTATCAACCGAACCACAAAGGTTGGGTCGGCAACGGTTTTCAAATTTGAGCAAAAATGGTTTGACGGATGGGTCGGTTTTTAGGCTGGTAATCGACCGACCCAACCCAGTCCCAGCCCTATATATATATATATATATATAGAGAGAGAGAGAGAGAGAGGTTGGTGTAATTTCACCATCTTAGGCCAGTCAGGTAAACCTTTTTTCTCTCGCCTTTCACGCCTCCTATTTATTGCCATCACACACACACACACACACACAAACTCAACGGTAAAGGCAAATACAAAGAGTACCCAACAAACATGTGAAGAAAGCAACATTTTTTTTAAGTTTTAGCAACTTTTTTTCGAATCACACACATAGTTGTATGCAATCCATTGTCATTGTAATCACAAAATAACACATTAATAATAATAATAATAATAATAATAATAATAATAATAATAATAATAATAATAATAATAATAATAATAATAATAATAATAATAATAATAATAACAATAATAATAATAATAATAATAATAATAATAATAATAAAAATAGAACAGCTCGTTTCCCGCATCACCCGTTGAGTTCCATATCATCATCGGGGCCCACATTTTCGGCCGCACCCCCGCTCTGCAATCCATTGTCCATAGAGAGAGGTAAAATTGTTTCATCGTCCGAACTTCCAAAGAGTTCAAGCTTGACCTGCTTGATCCTCGATTCTTGCAGAACACTCACAACCTCTTTCCGTTTTCGCCCCATTTCGATTGTCTTGCCCATCAAGCAGAAAGTAGCTGGAAATCCACCGTTTGACAGGTCATCCATTTCTTGGTCCACGTTTAAATCAATTTCATTTCGAACGAGGATATTCTGATTTAGAGGCGGCTCACTCTCCACTATAGGCATGCCTACTAGTGCTTTTGCATGGCGTGACACTACTTTGTGTTCAAATACTCGAAGTCCTTGATGTTCAAGGACCAATAACCACTCTGCAAAAAATAATAGCTACTGAAATTTCGGCGAATAAAATATTGCATGAACTGAACTTCTCTTGTGTACATAATTTAACCACATTTTCCTATATAGCTAACGAACTATTTTGCAACACGAATTCAAAAGTTCCGTTTTCTAGAGGGATTCGGTCCCAAATGTTGGAATTGCACATGATATATAATTCAAGAATAGCTCAGGCTAAAATAAACGAGAAAACGAGAAAAAAGTCAATTAACAACTCACTGATTAGAGCTTTAGGAGTTTGCACGTCGGGTATGGTCATTTGGTTTACCCTTGTGGCTTCAATGCTGGCCCACTTTATTAACTCAGCAACAAACTGGGATTCGCGGAAAGCATTCAGGTAAGAACTGGCTCTGCTAAGATCGACTTTATCCCTGTAAACCAACAAAATTCACATATTCATAATGTAGGCATTGTGTAATAACATGTTCAAAATGTTGGGGTTATTTATACTTGTTCAGTACCTGGCAAATTGAATGGCTCGTTCAGAAACTAACACCCATAACATAGCCAGCTTTTTAGAGCGGCTGTCGCATGATTGGACCCATTGTCCGGGATAAAACGAGTATTCCACCAATAAAACAGCATCGAGCAACACCTTATGCAGAAGAATTTCTTCCTCAGAACTCTGCAGCAATTATTGAATTAGTTTACCAAGAACAGGAGATTGCATGTTAGTTCTCTAACGAATATTTATTTATACTGCCCAAATTGAAGTCATGCATAAAACCCCATTAAGAACTAATTTCCCCAAAAGGTAGTGTGCTAAACTTTGTTTAATATTTCTTAAATTGCTGGATAAAACATACCAGTAAGGCTGCAAGAGGCAAGCTGGGCTCCAACAGCATTTTGAGGAGCATATCTGCAGAAGAGAACATTCGATCAGATTGCATATCAAGTAAATTGTTCTAAAACATGGAATTTCAACCGCACATGAGTTAGTATGGTGCATATAAAGCTAGATACTAAAGACCAAACTACGGCATTGATTCATATTGGTAGTGAAGATTGCGAAATGTGCACTCAAATTCGTAGTCATTTTATAAAGGCTACCTAATGAAAAATAAGCCTAATGAACCACTTTCAACAAGAATTCCCAATCAATTAAAATGTCGATACTGCCTCAAATGTACACAACATATTAGAAGCAAACATACAAAAGGCTAGTCATGCTGCACGTGAAAAGTGAGAGAGGGAGAGAGGAAAAAAGAGAAAACGCCAAAAAATGAATAGGAAAAGCAGGGAGTATAATATTAACCGGCTACGAATTAGGGAACTTAAGGTTGAGTAAAAGAATATAGACTCAGCAGCAAAATATAAACCTTCTCACCTATAAAGTAGAAATTCTGGAAACCCTTTATAGTCTGAATAGCCACATTTAGCATCTCTTTATGCAAGTCATCGTTATTAATTCGCGGAGAGATTTTCAGATACAACCTCAACAAAAAAGTCTCTTTCATAACAACCCCAGCAAGGTACCCCATGCTTAAAGTGACTTCTCGTTGAAAATCCCGATGCAGAGTCGGAAAGAAAGATGCCAGGATATCAGAGTCATTGTTCCCACTAATATGGTCCGCTGTCCAAACCCTTACTAAATCCAACATACACTCCACTAAACTATCCGACTCATTAATCCCTACCTCTAAATTTTTGGAACAACAAACGCTTATAAACTTAACAATATATTCTACAACTATCCTAATCTCGTCCCGCAAGTTTTGATCTCTTGCAGAAAAATTAATCTCCAGACGATACAGACGGTGTATCACAGGAGCAAAGATAGCTACCTTCTTTACCACATGGGATAAAGATGAGCATGAACGCAGTTTAACTAATAAGTCGATAGCGTTCCCAAGACTTTCCGGGGGTAGTGAATAGGCTGATCTTTTGGTTGCGTGAAAAGCAACCGCAAAGTAAAACCAAATAAATTCAAGACGCGGATCTTTCGAGTCATCAATCAACCCACCAAATTTGGAAAGCAACTTGGAAAAAATCGAGACACCTTTTTGATGCTCTCTCAAAAAGTAATTGATTGAGCTTTGGAGAGTTTCATCACAAATTGAAGGCGAGTTCTGAAAATTTCTCAAAGCCATGGCAAGTTTACTCGGATTAAACGAGTCCTAATTAGGGTTTGGCAAATTGAAATGAGCAAGAGGCCGTCACAGTCTATGACGAACAACCAATCTTTGTCATTAGCAAGCAAGGAGTGCGGATTTTATAGGATGATTATGTAATAATGCACCTACTCTTTTAAAGCGACACAATCGAAGACAATTCTGAAATAAATTACATATGCCGCGCACATTACAATAGTTGGATTACATCATTAAATGCAGGGTCCAGCGAAGAAAACGTTGGCAGTCATAAATTCTGAAATATGGCCACATCCAATCCGGAGCAAAATCAAATTAAGAAAATTATATACCTCTAAAAATCGAGAGAGATTTTATCAGTCTTCTATTCTTTTATAAGTTTACACCAAGGGAAATGAAAAGATTAGTCTACTACGAGTTCTGATAAAGTCCGTCAACGGTCAACCCATTCCTTGTTTTTAACAAATCAAATACACAATTTTGGGTTGACTTCACTTCTCCACCTTAATTTCAACTGCCAAACTTGCTCCTTAATTTATCAAATCTCAATTGGATGCCAAAATCAAACGATGACTCTAAAAGGCAAACAAATGAAACTACTAAAGAAACACGATCTAATTCGACATCATAATCAAATGATATAGCATAAAAAGTTGGATAAATATAAAATACCAACAGACAACGAGGAACAACATACAGCAAGTAACAAGAAAACTCACCCAAAAAATAGCTATTTTGGAACCCCTTGATAGTTTGAACCGCTTGATCTTTCGTACGTTCTAGAAAGTCCTCCGTAGACATTCCCGAACCAAAGCTGAGATACAGCTTCAGAAAGAACACTTCACACAGAACGATCCCAACCAATTCCCCTATTCCACACTTCCCATTCAACCCTTTCCAAATTCCGTCACTCAAAAGAGGAAAAAAGACCCTCAAATTTTCCCCAAATTTACAACCCCGCCCACCTCTATCAATCGTCCAAACCCGAACCAAATCCTCAAAACAAACCAATGCACTATCGAATTTAGCATCTTCGTTTGCATAACCATAAACCCTAGCAGACATCATAACACAACTAACCGTATTCTCCACCAATTTCTCAACCTCCATATCCACACACAGCCCACTATTCCTACTATCACGCACAATATCGTACAGCTCATATACAACGGGAGCAAGCATCCCGATCTTCTTCAATGGACTACTCAGATTAGAACAGGAAATCAGCAAGTTGAGCAAATCTTTAGCTATCAGCACTCTGGTTGAAGGGTTGTTCCGCGAGCTCAATTTAGCTGCGTGATAAGTGACGGCAGAGTAAAACCAAGTGATTTCGAGAGGCGGATCGAGCATTGTTTGGATTAAACGGAAGAAAATCGACTCGAAAGAGGAGTAATCAGTGCTGCCGCTCTGGTATGAAGTTAAAAAGTGGTTGATGGATTCTTTCAACATGGCTTCCTTATTTTGAATTTGGGGGTTCATTGTGTCGGAAAATCGACGAACTTGCGTGAACTGAACGTTGATTGCGGGAATTTCGAAGGTTGAGGGCGAGAAATTGGTGGGTTTAGGGTTTAATGGTGAGTTTTTGAAAACCTTAGTACAGAGAGAAGTCACCTGAGCAAGGGAGGGAAGCTTTGTCTCAACGGATCATTACTTTGAATTCGGGAACTTTGGAGTAAAATATTTAGTCCATTCTTTATTTAATAATTTCCGGAAAACATCATAAAAAGTCAACAATAATTGTCAAAAAAAAGGAGAAATCTGTATATGCTAGGAAACTAATACCTTAATAATGTTTTCTTTTGTGGAATCAAATGATTTAATAAGTAAATAAATAATCCTTTTAATTAAAGAATTAAAAAAAAAAAAATAGATGCCAGAGCAGCCAGACACAGTTAATAATTTCATAAATACTTGAAATGGAACACAAGAAAAATATAAAATAAATAAATTATTAGAGCACTATTATTTTGAAAGGGTTTTTTCACATTCCCAAAAAACACAAAGAAAAACACACATTTTATACATATATATATGCAAGCCGACAGACACAAATATACTAAAACAAAACAGTAATCTAGTTAAAAAAAAGAATTAAAATTATAATTAAAATCCCAAAACGAAGATGGACTTTCTCCAATATTAATATTGAATATTGTTCAATACTTCAATAAGCCCCTTATAAAGAAGGCACACAGACATCATGTATTCTTTATTGAATGGGAAATACAAACATTAACCATAAGACAAGCCTTCGAAGATTACGATCAACGGAAAGTAAAAAACAAACAAGTTACGATCCAAATACATCTCTCCGTTTCCTTAGCAAATACAGTCGGAAAAAAAAGAAGCTACAACCGGTTCGATTATTTTCCACAAACACACAGCGAAATCTGCGAAACCAATTCCTTTTACTTGGTCCACCAATGGAGGAAATCCTTGCGCCTATTGATCTTCTTCTGGAGTTGGAGAAGTCCATAGAGAAGGGCCTCGGCAGTAGGTGGACAACCTGGAACATAGATGTCTACTGGAACAATCCTGTCACAACCTCGTACGACTGAATACGAGTAGTGGTAATAACCGCCACCATTCGCGCAGCTTCCCATGGATATAACCCACCTTGGCTCGGGCATTTGGTCGTACACTCTGCCAAGAAACACATGAATTATTTCTAAAGATGAACACATATTGCAGAGTAACATGTCTAAACTCGAAAGGCCTAACGAAATCGCAATTACTTCACCCGAATGGATAACATCTTATCCGCATGGAAAAGTTTGGACAACAAATATCAAAAGCCAGTTCGGTAATAAAAGAATACAACAACAAATAACTTGACTTGAACCCACACGGGACAAGTGTTTAACCAATTTTTTGGATCTGGCGTTTGCTATTACATATCCATCTACTGATACATGTTTCCAGAAATAAAGCCACAGCTTGGAACGGTATTGTTTTTTATCGTGAAATCCATAAAATGACCACACAGCTAAAGGTCAACATATAAAACACCCACACCTGAAGCAGGGTGAAGAAGCAAGAAAAGATACTGCAAAAAGGATGGACGAAGAACGACACCTCAAGAAAGAGTATCTGCACACACGTTCTGCAATTTCTAATAATATTCCAAGCAGTTTGTAAATCATAACTAGAGATTGCACCATTACATTTCCCCACATAAAGTGGAGATCAATATAGCAGGCATATCGATTATTTATCAGAAGATTAACCATTTATTTAAGGAAGTTCTTTTGTCGATCACGTTTCTATTCCGAGCTATGTTCAATTGTACAAAAAATGACTTAGCTTTCTTTCAGAATTACTCTAGCTACCACCAATTTTAGAGGAACTGAATAACAAAAATGAATAGTATTTCCACAAACGCAGCAGGTAAGCAGCAAATGAATTAATTCCAAATCCTCTAGGTCAGCAAATTACACATCTAAGTCATATTCATACATATCACAAGAACCAAATTAAAAGTGGAATCCCTAAAAAGAACTCACTTGCGGAGGGCAGGGGCCATCTTATTGGTGAGAGTACCAGCAACAATCATGCAATCCGACTGCCTAGGGCTGGGCCTGAAAATGATCCCAAACCGATCCAAATCGTACCGTGCGGCACCGGTGTGCATCATCTCCACCGCGCAGCAGGCCAATCCAAAAGTCATGGGCCAGATTGAGCCTCTGCGGGCCCAATTCATGAGGTCATCGACCTTCGAGATCACGTACTCCGCCCCCTTGGATAAGCCGGCGGGGGAGGAGGTCGACGGAGGAGGGGCTGACGCGTACGGAGTGGGGGCGGAGGAGGAAGATGCGGCGAGGGAAGGGAGGGTGGTGTGGATAGAGGCAAGGGCGGAGCGGTGGTGATACGGCGTCGTATTGGAGAGTATGCGGCCGGCGTTCCTAGCTAGCTGAGCCATTTTTCGCTACTCTTTCTTTTTTTCTCCTTTTTTTTTTTTTTTTCTTTCGGATCGGTGATTTGGGAGAGGAGGGTATTTATGGTAAAAGGGTGTAGAAGGGAAAATTGGGATGAGGTGGGTTAATTTCGTCCATTTGCTAAGATGGTCCTTTTCTTAATTGGCGGTGTAATTACTAATTAGTCGGTTTTTCTCTAAAATCGCATTTTCGGCAGACGCTTTTAGATTATCAGATTTTACTTTTTAGCCCTTGAAAGTTTGCAAGGACATCGGTAAAGGTTCATTTCACCCCCCTTCGTTATCTCTCTTTCCCCAATCTAGGGTTTTGAAACCCTCTCCCTCGCTCCGAAATTCTTACTCGCATTTTGCTGTATCTCCACTTCCGATTCGCGCTAATGGCAGAGGAAGCGGTCTACGCATCCTCAGGAGGCGAACAGAACAAGCGCAAGTACGAGGATTCTCCGCCGCCGGTGGCGCGTCGCGCGACGGGCTTTTCGTCGGCTCCCGACTCCGCGGCGCCTCCACCGTCGTACAAAAACGTTCCGCCTCCTATGAGCGAGATAGAACTGGCTAAACAGAAGGCGCAGGAGATCGCTGCGAGGCTTCTGAATGACGCAGATCCGTCCAAAAGAGCCAGAGGTGAAAACGGAGGTGGTTTTGGCGGGGGATTCGATGCTATTGATGCAGGTTAGCCTTTCTTGTGGTATTATTCGATTTTTTTTACAGTTATCTGTTCGCTTCACTCAAACCTCACTAAAACCCTACATTAGTGTGTTGGTTCATACATCTAGCATCTCCACATTCACTCGCAGTCGGACTGATTATGTATTTGTACAATTTAATGCATCTCTATGATTTTAAATTTTGTCTTGTGCGCATAAGCTTGTATATATACATAATGCCTAAAAATATTTTACCCTAGTTTGCGTTTCAGTGGACGATTGCTGATTGCTGAGTCCCAATTTATTTAGGCGTAAACAATTGAATATCTTATCATGAATTTATTTTGCGACTTGTCTATAAAGCGGTATTTGGCCATTTACATCTGAGTTTATAGGTTTTCTAGACTCTCTTTTGTATTCAATTTTAGATTGTGTTTTTTATGTGAAAAGTTTGGAATGTACATGCACATGTTTAATGTTCTGTTATTATCCGAGTATGTTGTTTAATTGAGTCAGACGTGGTTTCTTACATTTTATATTATTTTTCTCGATTCAGGTATTGGTCAGAAGCATTTGGGTTTGGGTCTTAGCACTCCACCGCAGAGTGCGTCTTATGGTTATCCAGGTCCAAATAAAAGAATTGAGATACCAAATGGAAGGGTTGGTGTAATTATTGGCAAAGGTGGTGAAACTATCAAATACCTTCAATTGCAGTCAGGTGCAAAGATTCAGGTAACTAGAGACATGGATTCGGACCCTAATTCTACTAGTAGGGGGGTTGAGCTCACGGGGACTCCAGATCAAATAGCTAAGGCAGAGCAATTGATCAGTGATGTTCTTTCTGAGGTACTGCATACAGGGACATGCTATTCAATACTCATTACTTGTATGCTGCTTACTTTTTACTTTCTGTTTATTATTTGGATTCTTACAACATTTTACTTTCTACTTTTTACATTCACATTGATAATAATTAAATTTCTGGCCAGTTCTTCTCTGGTGTTGAAAATTCCTGAAAACTTCGCAAGTTATATGGATCTAATCAATATTTAATTTGATATGTTCCCGTGGTCACAATTTGCATGTTTATCGCGACAGGCTGAGTCAGGTGGTTCTAGCGTAGGTTCTCGACGGTCGACTGGGCAACCATTTGGAGCAGAGCAGTTTGTGATGAAGGTCCCCAACAATAAGGTATATATTATGCAGTCTCTGTCTTATGTGATGGTTATTTATCTACACGTTTTCCCTGAAGTTCACGACACTTTTTCAGGTGGGACTTGTTATTGGCAAAGGTGGTGAAACTATTAAAAGTATGCAAGCAACAACTGGGGCTCGTATTCAGGTAAGCCAGTGTGTTATTTGAATATATTGCATCATGTATTTATAGCGCATTGCTAGTCTTTGTATTGTAAGTAGTCATACGCTGTTTCATCCTACTTAATGGAAGTGTATGACAAATTTACTTTTCCCAAACATTACAGGTCATACCTCTGCACTTGCCACCTGGTGATAATTCACTAGAGAGGACTGTACAAATTGATGGCAGCAGTGAACAAATTGAAGCTGCTAAATTGTTGGTCGAAGAAGTTACCAGTGAGGTTTGTTTAATGGTTGTTGCTCACTTGTTCATTTATGCTGCTTTAGTGTTGTTTCAGAAGCTGGTTATTTGCTTGCATTTGAAAAAAATATTATGTTGGAAGGCTCTTGTTCACTGTCGGTTAATTATTATTGCTGTTTCTTTTCAACTCTGTATATTTACTTGGTGTTGATCCCCCCCCCAAATTTTTGGACTTAATATTCCAGATAAAACTAATGTTTTATCTGGACTCGATGACTGTTATTGTATTCTCATAATTGAGTTTCTCCCTAGTCTACTTCAAATTTCTAAAAGATTCAAGTCAAATTTGGCACATTTCCTGACTTTAACAAATTACAAAGAAATAATCGTATTTTTTTTTATTTTATGAGATAATTTATACTCGAAAGGTTTTTTTGAAACAATGCAACAGATTTATAATTATTTTTTATTTTTTATGTCTTTTGCTACTTTTGTGGCACGAAGTGTCATTTTATTCGTAGTTACCTTTAAACAGATGATTTATGAAGTTCTCCCTGTCCCCAACCATATTGCTGTAATATTTCCTTCTAAATTTTGTGTGATGTTTTGCCATTTTGTATGTCTGCGTACTTGCCCTATTTGCCATTAGTGAATAGAGAGACTTGTCAAAATGATCCCTGGATGGAAGAGTTCTGCCTTCTGCTGCCTTTGCTTCTTCCCTGTACATTTTCACAGTAGTTCAATTCTTAACATATTACCTTCGCTAGTTAGTGATTATAAGGAATCCGGATCGGTATTTTAGGACGTCACCTATATCCTCTTTTGATTTATTGGACTATTGGATATTTGGTTATTGTGAGGCAGGTATTGCGTGGATCCTCTCCATTGAGGTAATTAAGCAACCTTTGATGTTTCTTATAGTGTTGAAGATATATCTGAAAGTAAATAATTAGACTAAGTCATGTGAATAAGGGATTAATGTTAAGGAGTTTGGCCTCTTATATGTATGTATTTGCTAAATACATGGTGCTCTTAATGGGGATGTTTTAGGGGTTAGAAAATGTGGGACAATTGATAACATCAACATGGCTTATTTCATGTTGGTGTTTCCTCGACTGATTATCTGGTCACATAACATTTGTTGTTATACTTGACTTGCAGGCAAGTTTTTGTTGACTTCAATCGAGTATACTGACCATGTTCTCCCTCTGACATATGTCGTTTTCCATTAATTTTATTGTTTTGTGACATTATCATGGGAATAAGACACCTTTTTCAAATATAAGCGGTCATGGAATTTAACTATTTTAAAATTTAATTTGCCTTGTATCAATGGTTGAGAAATGTCAGGTTGGAAACCCGAAATTTAATAATCTCTTGGTATTTTTGAGCTGGCTTCTTTGGTCAATTATTTTGTACCCACCTAAAGCCTTTGTGTTGTTTGCACTTTAGAATCTACTGGGGAAAATAGTAATTTCTACATTATTATGTTTTGGCTGTCTTTTTTTCCTCGATAAGTTTGTGACTTCGTGATCTTCTAGTGTTGCATTTTGGATGCTCATAGATGAGAATATGAGCCAGATTTTTCAGCTCCCAATGTTACAATCTACTCGGATATTTTGCGTGCAATTGCCTCTCCCAGTAAGTTTATGGTGAAGCCTATAGTTGTTAAATTAAGTGCCCTTGCATATACTTTTGCTTTTGCAAATGGATCTGTAGTCCTGTTTTGTATGCTATAAATAGTATGTTGCCTATTCTTTTGTACCCATTCACTGCGAATAGGGAGAGAGGATGGGCTTCTGCAGGAGTAATCAAATAATACGACCCAACAAGTACGGTATGTAGGCACTAACTTTTGTCTTCATGCAACTGTGCTATGAGTAAATTTGTTGAGGATTGTATTTGATGATTTATCTTTTACCTGATATCTTTTCTGTTTGTTGATATCTATCTTGGCTTTGTTTGGAAAAAAAATGCTTTGCTTCATGAATATTAATTGTCAGTGTAGATATGGTTTAGTTCAAGGTTCATTTGTGATAAACAATTTTGTGCAGAATCGTATGAGAAACAACAATTCGATGTCTGGAGGATATTCTCAGCAAGGTTATCAAGCTCGGGCTCCAACTAACTGGACACAAAATCAGCAGCAACCTGGTTCTGGTTATGGCTATGTCCAGCCTGGCGCATACCCTGGCCCACCACAATATAATCAACCACCTTACTCTGGTTATCCTCCTCAACCCACTACTGGTTGGGATCAATCAACTGCTCCTCCTCAAAATCAAGGAGCCGCTCAAGGAGGTAACTATGATTACTACAACCAGCAGCAGCAGCAGCAAACTCAAGGAGCCCCAGCCGATGGCTCTAATAATTATGGGTACGGTCAGGGTTACGCACAAGGTTATGGCCAAGATGGCTATGGTGGTGGGTATCAAGCGCAATCAGGATATGACCAACAAGGATATAATAACTCTACTTACGCCAATGCTCCTAACCCAACACCTGATGCACAAACACAGGGCGAAACCAATCAAACAACGCCACCTGGACAGTCGTACAATCATAATTATCCACATCAAACTTCTAGTCAACCAGGTTATGGATCTTCACAGGGTGCTTATGGAACACAAGCACCACCTAGTTACGCAAGTTATGGAACACCTCAGGCCCAAAATCCGGGCACTCAGCCGACTTACGCACAGCCACAGCAGTCACCTGGGGCTCAGTATGCTCAGTATCCACCTAGCTCAGATTCTAGTGCACAGAGACCTCCTTCATCAGGTTATGCTGCAGCATCTCAGACAGGGTATGGGGCCCCACCTGCAGGGGGGTATGCGCCCCCACCATACAGCAATGCTTATGGCGGTGCGTATTCCCAGCCTCCAGCTTACTCCTCTGATGGCAATGCACGCGGTGGTGCTGCTACCCATGATGTGACTCCACCTCAAGCAGCCCACCCCTCTGGGGCTGCGAAAGCCTCGCCTCCTAGTTAAATTTTTTTTACAGTCAGTTGATCGATTGAGTTCTGCTACTAATGTATTGTTACTTTTAATAGATGTTTTAGGTAATTGAGGTCTGCTATTCGGACAATGGACTTTTGTAATTCGGACATTGGACTTCTGTAATTCGGGCATTGGACTTTAGCATGTTTCTATGCTGTTATGTCTTAAGATTATGTTCTGCTATTTAGTTTTGGCCACACAGATTTTCTTCAGTTTTAAGAATTACTGGGCTCGTATTTGTTTTTCGTTGTACTGTAGTGTGTTGTGTTTATTTGGGTGCAGTGTGCTGCACTATTTGTTCTGGGTGTAGTGATTATTTTTTAGAATATTTACGTTGTACCGTGTGTTTAATGGTGCAGTGTGTTTTTACATGTGATTTTCTTATTGCGTGTTTATGGTGTACTGTGTTTTGTTATTTGATTTTTTCTACTGCGTGTTTTCAGTGTTGTGTTTTTTCATGGTATTTTTTTTATTGTGTACTGCATGTTAACGGTGTACTGTGTTTTTTATTTGATTTTTGTAACTGCGTGTGTATGGTGTACTGTGTACTCCGTGTTTATGGTTTACTGTGTTTGTATTTGATTTTTTTACTGCGTGTTTATGGTGTACTGTGTGAACTGCGTGTTTATGGTGTACTGTGGGTACTGCGTGTTTATGGTGTACTGTGTTTTTTTATTTGATTTTTTTACTGCGTGTTTATGGTGCTCCTTTTGCACTGCGTGTTTATGGTGTACTGTGTTTTTTTATTTGGTTTTTTTCACTGCGTGTTTATGGTGTAATGTGTGCACTGCGTGTTTATGGTGTACTGTGTACTGCGTGTTTATGGTGTACTGTGTCTTTTTATTATATATTTTTTACTGCGTGTTTATGGTGTACTGTGTGCACTGCGTGTTTATGGTGTACTGTGTGTACTGCGTGTTTATGGTGTACTGTGTTTTTTATTTAATTTTTTTTACTGCGTGTTTATGGTGTACTGTGTGCACTGCGTGTTTATGGTGTACTGTGTGCACTGTGTGTTTATGGTGTACTGTGTTTTTTATGTGATTTTTTTACTGGGTTTTGATAGAAGTGTGTGTACTATGTGTTTATGTAGTGTGCTGTGTGTATGATTTTTTTACTGCGTGTGTTTTAGGGTGTTGTAGTGTCACTGTTTCCTGCGTGTTTACTGTGTTTATGTTTTTCCACTGTATTTATTGTGTAATTAATACATTTTATTTCTGACTGCAAAATATTTGAAATTCCAGAACGACCTAACATTTGTCAATCAAGAATGGAAAAAAATCATAGAAAAACAACTTCACTCTCTCCAGTAAACAAGTATATCAAGAAAGGGGAAAATCACAAGGAAAAAGAACACCAAATAGAACCACCAAAGTCCATCACAACATAAGAGTCCCTTTACATGATTATCCTCTATACTCTCTATAGTCTTAAAAACAACTACCTCAACAAAGAGGAAAAGCATAGGAATAAATAACACAACCACTACAGTTCATCACAGCATAAAAATCCCTTTACCATAAAATAAAATAACACAAATAGAGCCACTACAGTTCGTCACAACATAAAAGTCCCTTTACACGATTATCATCCACTCTCTCTCCAGTTTGAAAACAACTATATCAAGAAAGGGGTAAGACAGAGAAAAAGATAATACAAAATAGGAACACTAGAGTTCATCGCAACATAAAAGTCTCATTCCTGAATGCGGGCTAGACTTTTGGTGATAAGTTGTTCAGCATAATAACAAATTGAAAGCCTCAATATCGGGGTTTCGATCAGTCGATCGTCCTTTGCTATCTATCTAATCTATTGAATCGAAACATGAGGATAATTTTTTAAGTATAAGAATCACTCATACTATCTATCCAATCTAAAAAACAACTGCACATAGTTAATCACAGCATGTTCTACTGTCTCATACTTCACCACACTCTTTTTAGCCTCATACAAACCCATCAAAAGAAAATGGATAGGGAGCATAGATCAGTACACCTGCTATGTTTTTTGCGATCAGAAAACGAGGGTAAGCATGTAAAAAAAGGTGCGCCTATTTCAAATAGCAAAGGGCGCACTTCCAAAGCTAAATCAGCGGTATCTATGAAAAGAAATACCTGAATGTGGACAAGTCTTGGTGAAAAAAGCAAAAATGTAGGCTAATATAGAACCAACGCACATTTTGATAGCATATTGCAAAATATCACTTTCAGCTTCAGCTGTGGTTGTTATTTCCATAGCTGAAGGAAGGGCTTCAATCACTACATCAGCTAGATCAGTAATGAATGACGACTTACAGTTCAGAGCAGGAACACGACTCCAATTAACAATACCCGGATTCAAGAGCCAGTTCTCTGTACTCCATATCGATATCTTCAAGAGTTTCTATGTGCCCACTCACAAAACTGAAAGTATAAGACCATTTATTAGATACAAAACATGGAAGCTCACATATATCTAGAAGTCTATACGTTTCATCGACGCCATGTCATAGTAAATCGGTAAGAACAGAAGACTCGTGCCTTTTAGAGGTCGTTTACTTTTTGGTACGATTCTATGAGATGTAGAGGAGGTATTGATGATAAATATTATTATTTGTAGAATGTAGATTATGCTGTTTACTATGTATGATTTTGATTAATACCCAAGCGTTATAGGACAAAAATACCACCATGAATTTACCACATCTAACTCCACTTTACCCCTTTTTGAAAAGATAACCGAGACCTAAATTTAAATTTATCATCTTCATTAACGAGAATATAATAATTTTGATTTGAGAAACCAACACATAATAATTAAAAATATAGATTTTAAATGCACAAAATATTAATGAGATATAATTCATGTTTACTTGAATAAAGAAAGCAAATTCAACTTATGAAGATTGTCTTCTAAATCAGATTTAGAGAAAATGGGGAACAATTTTTAAATAATAAGATTAAACAATGATATTTTATTGCAAAAGCTCCAAGAATCTATTTTATTACAAATAAATGTTTAAAATATTTCTAGAATTGTAATTGAAAGAAAATAAAAAGATTTAGAATTATAAAAGTGACATATCTTATGACTAATAAATAAAATCTCAAATATAGATTGATTTTACTAAATATAACTTATCGAAAACATAAAAACTCTTGAATCGTTGTATCTTTTTGAAGACATATTAATTTATTTTCTTTATTCTCTAAATATAGTAACTAACTGGAAAATATGAGATAGCCAGATAAAATAAATTATTTTGCATTAGACATCTGAAATGCTAAAAGACGAGGACGTCCTTTCTATAGGTACGTGATGTTTCATTCAAATGCTCTTTATATCTATTTTAATATAACAATATATTATTTATCAACATATTTCAAAAGCTATGATAGAAAGGAAATGTGAAGAAAAAGTTAGAACATAAAGAGTCATTCGCCTTCATGATTATTTGACTAAATTAATTGACAACATTTAACTACCAACTGTTCAAGAGAACAATGAAATTAATTTAAGCAATTTCTCATTGTGAAGTTCACAAATTTTCAGTTAAGCACAATTACCTAATATTATCAATTGGTCGAGGGGTGTACAAATATAATAGGTCATACATAAAAGGGAAGAAAACCACCTACCATGTTCATGCGTTTGTATATAAGTATAGATAGACATATATAGGATTAGTTATTATATTAGAAAAATGATCTTTGTAGTTCAGTTCAGCTGCCCCATTCACTTTGAAGTTTAAGCATTTGTATTATTTTTAATATATATAAAAAAATAAAGTTGTTCTATATGACAAAAGGTTACAACCTCCTCATTAAATTCATAATGAAGAGACTAAATATATTTTTTTCTTTAAAAAATTTCATATACGTTTAAATACTAAAAATTAAAATCTCATAAAAGGAAAACGATAGTATATAATTTCTCAAATACCAGGGGCTCGTTTACTTGGGATATTAGTTTGGATGTGCTATTTTATCCAACGTATGCCCTGAATACTTGGGGTGATGGAAGCCCGTTATATACTAGTTGTCCAGCACAAAATCGGTCATCCTAGCATGACCCATCCCACCTAAAGGATGGAACTGGGGTGTAGAATCTGTTCCATTTCACCCTCACTTTATTTAAAAGACTAAAAATATGGCTCTTACATATATAATTCGCGTTCTCCATTATCATCATCGCCGGCTTTTCACCATCAATCATATAACTCTGGTTTACAAAAATATTTTTTATTGACTCTGGGATGTAGTATCCTGGGAACCCATGACCTTGTTCCCAGTGATGAAAAAAAGTTTTGATTAAATACTTTGATAGAAAAGTTTCCTTATTCGGGTATTCCTATATGTTAACTTTTTAAGCAGGAATCACATCCATGATAATGGTTGTTGAAGTTATTCAGCCATAATGACCTTTTAAGGACACTAGAGAAGTCTATGATATAATTTCCTCAAGCAACATAAACAGTGACGGGAAAGAGCACAAAAACAGAGAGATCTGGAGAGAGAGATACCTCACTGGAACAGCCAAGAGAGACTTCACTCCTTGTTGGCCAAGCTCAACAAGAACTTCATCGGCGTACGGCTTTAGCCACTGCACAGGTCCTACCCGCCTCTGGTACATGAGGTTAATAGTTAATACCAATACATTGAAAGTAAGCAGCCTATGTTGTTCAAAGTTATCTCCCTTGAGAGGTGGTGGCTCTAGAGACCGATAATAATGGAATTTGGACACTAGGGGTTGGCCAATAAAAATAATTCATAACTAAGTTATGCACTAAAATGTAGAATTCAACAACCATAACGAACCTGGTAAGCCAAAGTATGATTGTTGCCAATTCCTCTAGATTTAAGTTCTTGCATTATTAAGAAAATGCAATCTTCCATCTGGTCTTTATATGGATCACCTGCATCCTCAACATAACTGACAGGAACTCCATGAGTACTGAAGAGTATCATGGTCTACAATATGCCACAAGAAAAAAACATTATTAATTCTATTGTGAAAACTCCACATAAATTCAAAAAAAAAGAAAAAATTAATGCGTCACACCTCAAATAAAATATATCACCCATCTCTTCTGGGTTTGGGAATATCTGTAACTCCTTTTCAATTAAGTCAGCCACAGACTTGCCTGCAAAAGACGAAGTAAATTATTTTCGAGCATCCTAAAAAATATGAAGAAATACTCAAGCAGGAGAAACACTAAAACTCATTGCGTGCAATACCTGCTCATCTGTTATTTTGCGCAAAGGTGAACCTCCTCCAATGGGAGCACAGCCTTCTTTACCTTTGGGAGCTCGCAATACCGAGATTAATTGTGCCAAAGGACGCTGAAGGAACCGGAAAAACCTCGGAAGGCGAATGATATCCTGTGACGTGGCATTAAAAAAAATCACTAATCTCATAATTATCGAAACAAAATAATAGTAAGATAGAAATTGTTTTAAAAATCGTACAGGATATGCGAACAAATTGAACAAGAAAGACTGAACATCATTTAGAGTATCAGGCCCTCCGAGATTCAAAAGCATCACTCCTATCTTTTCCTCTGATGTATGAGAATACGAGTCGATATCTCCCTTAGGAAACGTGCATACCCTAGCCGAGGAAAATGTTCTCCCTACAATTTGTTTGCCTCTGCTGTGATGAAAGTTTGAGAGATAATCCCCCATCTTTCATCTCACTTGTATCAGAATTCACAGGCAAAGAAACTTCCGATTTAATAGAGAAAGATGACAACAGCTTAGTCCGATGGCGCAACCTGGAAATGGACAAAGTGATAATCAAACTTATTTCTCTCTCCTACCATATGCAAAATGCATACCGATCGTGGATTATGCCACAACTTAGGGTTTCATTAATTAAAAAAAAGTAATCATGAAAACCTAATGATCTAACAAGATCTTCACCATGTATAAAATGTAAAAGTTCGGTCGATCAAATTGTACATTTACAAACATGAACAAACGCACATCATAAACACTGTAAAAAAAAAAAATCAGAATCAAATACACGGATTACGGTGCGGAATTCTGATCGAAATTCAATTGCGGAAGAATCCGAGAGCCCGCTGCAGCCTCCATCGCGTAGATTCTTCAACAAGCCGACTCCAATTTTCAAAATCACCGAATGAAAGAAGAGAAACAATCTTCTTCATGAGAGAAATCCATTGAAGAAACGGAGATTTTGGAGAAATTCTATAGAAGAACGGTTTAAAAGTGTTTATCGAGGGTTTTGGCGAGAATCATGTCTTTGGTGAGTATCGTATAGGAGAAGAAATGGTAACTGCTTCTGTAATAAAATAGGGTTGGGTGAAAATGATCGACGTGTTCACCTCCCATTGGAGTAGCTCAAATTGCGGATTCTTTTCAAAAGCCAAACACGGCCTAAGTCGACTGGTCGACTTAACATTAATAATCAATTAATTTAACAGCAATACTTCATATTATATTATTTCATACCATATTGAATGGGTAAATTACGGTCACCTCCCTGAGGTAAAGTCAAATTACAAAAAATCCGCTTATGTTTGGGTAATTACAATCAACATCTGCTATGAATCTTCTTATACGTTCACGCTTTAAATTTAGTGGAATCTTCTAGATTTTGTGAAATATTCTCCAATTTGTTTCGTTTTACCACGTTCGAATTCCACATTTTGAAACATGATGATCATAAGATGGGTTTATGGACTTGTAAATATCATATTGTAGTGCATCAGAAACTGCATTTTTGCACAAAACGAATAGTCGAATACAAACTAGAGAACATTTCACGGAATCTAGAAGATTAGGTTGAATTTGACACCATAAGAGTGGACCGTGAACCTGTAACAAGGCTCATAGTTGAGGGGTGATTATAATTACGCAAATAAAAGGAGTTCTTTCGTAATTTAATCTTATCTCGGGGTGGCGGTAATTTACCTACATTCAATTTCAAAGTTTAAAATATTACCACCCCTGAGGTATGGTCAAATTACGAAAAACCCCTCATGTTTGGATAATTACAAGTTACAACCACTCCTCAACTATGAATTTTCTTACACGTCCACCCTTATGTGTCAAATTAATATAATCTTCCAGATTTTGTGGAACGTTCTCTAGTTTGTACTCGTTTTGTGCAAAAAATGCCACCACAATATAATATATATATACAAGTAAAAAAACATGTCTTATGATCATTTTGCTTCAAAATGTGGAGCTCGAATGGGATAAAACGGGTACAAAATTAAGAAGATTCCATATAATCTAGAAGATTCCACTAAATTTGACACCGCAAGAATGGACATGTAAGAAGATTTATAGTTGAGGAGAGTGGTTATAATTAGCCAATCACGAGGAGTTTTTTCATAATTTGACCATACTTCAGGGTAGACATGGCCACGGGTCGGGTCGGATCCGGGTCCGGATCCGGGTCCTACTTTTTGGAGACATGAAACCGACCCGTGTGGAGGCGGGTCCGGGTCCGGGTCAGGTCGAGTCCGGGTTCCGGTCCAAAACCGGTCTTTTGAATTTATTTTTTTTGAATCTTGACAGTTGGAAAAAAAAATTGAACCGGGTCCGGGTCGGTTCCGGGTGGACCCGAGTTTCTAGCCGTTAAAATAAAAAAAAAAAAAAAAAAAAAATTGAATTTACGGATCGGGTCCGAGTCGGGTCTGATTTATAGCCGTTGCATTTTAAAATTAAAAAAAGAATATTTTTTTATTCGGTCGAGTCCCCCCGCCGGGTCTCGGGTCCAATAAATCAAGACCCAAAACCGACCCATGTAAAGTCGGGTTTGGGTCCGGGCCCAAGGGGTGCGGGTCGGTTCCGGGGCGGTCCAAATTCGAGGCGGGTTCGGACTAGGCCCGTGGTCGTGTCTACTTTAGGGGTGACCGTAATTTACCCAATATATTATTATTATTATTATTATTATTATTATTATTATTATTATTATTATTATTATTATTATTATTATTATTATTATTATTATTATTATTATTATTATTATTATTATTATTATTATTATTATTATTATTATTATTATTCTTGCATGGTGTTTAGACACATCTCCCTGGCCACACATGAACACCCACATTTCACGTAGAGTTAGTTAAAAATGGAACTTAGATTCTTCGAATAGTTTCTCACCTAAATCATTTTTTTCTTCAATGGAAGAACTCTGCAGATTCTGAAACTACCTACATACAAAATTAACAATCATCATTTTTTGATTCTCTATATACATACACACATACAAAAAATCCTCAGAAGAAAAAAAGAAAAAATGAATTATGATTGGAAAAACATAACAAATACATATTCAGGCTATACACAATCACTATGCCCAAATGGGGGGAATATGACCTTCAAACTTGCCACCATTGCCGTTTACATGCTCGGCTTCTTCTTCATCGTCTTCCTCTGCAACTTCCTCCACATTTTGCTCCGCCGCTTCTCTCAGCCTCGCATCATCTCCGAATGCTTAGTTACTACCCCTCTCTCTCTCTCTCTCTCTCTCTCTCTCTCTCTCTCTCTCTCTCTCTCTCTCTCTCTCTCTCTCTCTCTCTCTCTCTCTCTCTCTCATCTGCAAAATCATTTCCCAATTATCAATTATCAATTGGATTTGCAGGTAGGGCTATTCCTGAGCAACCTCCCCGTCATACGCCGCCGCACGAGCGGCGAAGGGATACAGAACACATGCATACATAGTGAAGTAGCAATGGTCCTACACATGTTCGTGTAGGGTTAGAAGTGGACCCAAACATATTCCTCGAAATCCACCTCCCGGAGGCCCAAAGTCGCCTACACCGGCGTTCTCACACCTTCGTAATGGCGGCTCTCCTAACGCCGTTCCTCACCGTCCCCATAGGCACAAACGCCCCCTTCAACCTCTGCCTCTCCATCATAATCTCCGGCACCGCCAGCCCGCTGCTCACGCGCCTGATTACAGATCTCAAAATCGGCAAATCCGATATCGGCAGATTCGTCGTCTCCGCCGGGGTCCACACCGATCTGGTGTCCACACTCCTAATCTGCATCGGATTCGTGATTTTCGACCCGGTGCGCGCGTTCGTGTACAGAACCGTCGGATCTATCATCACCATGGTTTCGCTCCTCGTGATTGAGATGGTTCTAGCGGCGAAATTGACGCCGTTGATTATGAATTGGGTGAATCGAGAGAATCCAGAGGGGAAGCCGATGAAGTGCTCGCACCTGGTGCTGGCGGTGGCGTACGTGGTTATGGTGTGTAGCTTCCCGCCGATTGTGTCGAACTACGACAAGGTTTTGAGCGCGTTTTTGGCGGGAGTTTTCATGCCGAGAGAAGGGAGAATTGCGAAGATGATGATTAGTAAGGTGAATTATTTCTTCAGTGCTATTTTCTACCCACTCTTCTTCTTCTGGGTTGGTACAGAGGCTCAGCTCAACAGCTTCGAAGCTGGCAAATTAGGCACGTGGGCTAAATTGATATTCGTCTTCTTAATTGCAACCGCTGGGAAAGTGCTTGGCTCTTGGGTCTCAGGGGTAATGTTGGGATTTCACTGGCAGGACTCGATCGCCGCCGGTTTGTTGTTGAACATCAAGGGCCATTTCCATGTCTATTTGGCTATAATGTCTTCAAAGGTAAAAAAAACCAAGAAAACTCGAAAACTAAACCAACTTTTTTTTTCCTAATTCAATTTTTTTTATATATATAGATGCTGTTGTCGAGCACTTCCACAAGCATCGGTATGGTGTTTGCGACTTTTCTCACCATAATCTACGCTCCGATGGTGGTGGCGAACATCATCCAACGCGCGAGAAAACGGTCACCCACACAAAGAATGGCGCTCCAATGGCTCGCCCAATCGCACGAGCTTCGTGTTCTATTATGCATGCATGGCCCACAAAACATTTCCTCCGTTGCAAATTTCGTGGGGATCTCACGTGGGCCCGCGGACCCCGGATTATTGGTTTACCTCACGGACATGGTGGAGCTGACCGATAGAATAGCCACCACATTAGCACACACTCAAGGTGTGGATACTGTGACGGTGACCGATCCAGCGGTTGTGGAGATGAGGGAGGAGATAACTAATGGGATTAATGCTTACTTAAATGAAGACGGAGATGGGATCACCGTTAAGAGGATGCTCGCGCTCTCTACACTCAATAGCATGCATCAAGATGTTTGTATTTTGGCGGAGGATTTGATGGTTACGCTCATAATATTGCCGTTTCATAAGCAGCAAGAAATAGGTGGGAGGCTTAATATGGGACACTCCGGTTTTCGACACGTCAACCGTAAGGTAAAGAAAACTCTATAATAAGGCTTAGCTCGAATTTCATTACTTGTGAGCTCCACATTTTTGGAACTCAAGGAGTTAAAGAGTGATAAGGGCAAAATTGAGAAAATGGTAAATTATTCATCATCGGACTTCTACCGTGACAAATACATGGAACAAGAAAGTGTGGGGCCCAAAGATAAAGTTATGCCCCTGCCACTGAGCTTGAGTCATCAAAGTACAAAAGAATATAACTATTCCTTGTATCATAAATAAGCTTCTATTTTTCGTGTAGGTTCTTCGCCACGCCCCATGCTCGGTGGGAATCTTAGTGGACCGTGGTCTCGGGGCTACACTAATATCAAGATCCACCATATCCCTCCACGCGGCGGTGATCTTCATAGGCGGGAAAGACGACAGGGAAGCATTAGCTTATGCGGGCAGGGTGGCGCGCCACCCGGGCGTGAAGCTGACGGTCATACGGTTCCTTCTGGAAGCTACCGGCGACAGCATGTCGTCCATAATCACCATAGCAAAGTCCAACACAACGGAGCATCTGGAGGAGATGAAGGTGGACGACGAGTGCTTCGCCGACTTCTACGACAGGCACGTCGCCGGAGGACAGGTGGCGTACATGGAGAAGTATTTAGTCAACTCGGGGCAGACTTTCTCGACTTTGAGGTCGCTCGAGGGGCAATATGGTCTTTTCATAGTGGGGAGGGGAGGGAGGGTGAATTCGATATTGACGGTGGGGATGAATGATTGGGAAGAGTGCCCGGAGCTTGGGCCTATTGGTGATATTCTTTCTGCTTCGGATTTTTCGACGACGGCGTCAGTTTTGGTTATACAGCAACATAGTTTGAAGGGTGAACTAGATGGCCTCCAAGATGAATTCTCAATTATGTAAACTTTTAGTATATTTAGTGTACATAGAATAGGTAGAAAATGTTGGGAGTATAGGTAAAAGAATTTGTGTACAGATAAAAGAATTTGTGTACAGACTTGAAAATAGACCTAGTTATTTATATGCATGGAGTCTCGGTTGTAATCTTTTATTATGTTATTTGCCTGTGTAACATTATTTTTTGCTAGGTATATAACTGTATATTGTCCACCGAGTGCTTCAGTAGTGAAAATATATCCCATCTCTTGTATATAAATGCTTGCACCTCAGAAAGATTTTCAATTACGGCAGAAGAGCTACGCGCGGGAATTAATAAAGTCGAAATTGCCAATTTTCCTCGCAAAAATTTGCATCAAAGATGCAGAAACATAATACACAACATGCAAACCGAAGCCAGTACGAAAAATTGTTTCATCCTCTTCACTTCTAAAAGAAGTAACAGATGTCTAAACTAGCAAATATTTGCGTCCTTTATATATTATATTAGGCTCTGACGTCTTTTCGCTTCCTTCCAATCAGACTCACAAGCCAGGTATTGGGAATTGGGTGGTCAATGCCTCCACTCTTCTTTGCAGATCCAAAACCCGATCCATCAACGGAAAGTTCGGAGAAGTCACAACTTTCATAAAATCTTGGAGCTTAGAGCCTGAAACAGACTTCTTTGCGTCTGAAGTAATCTGCACACCTTCGTGAATAAAATCTGCAACTGCAATGAATTCTTTTTCGCTAAAGCATCGCGTAGTCATGGCTGGTGAACCAATGCGAATGCCACCAGGTACTAGTGCACTTTTGTCACCTATATACATATGGTGAATTTGCATTGAGTACACGAGCAACTAAAATTCGTTAATTAGTTACACATCTGTGTAATTGGCTTACCAGGAACCGAGTTTTTGTTGAGGGTTATGGATGCCATATCAAGAATCTTTTCCACTCTAGCGCCATCAAGGCCCTAGACAGACAACACAAGGTTTATTAAGTGATGACATGGCATTGATCTTGTAACTAGTGATAAAAAAAATCAAGAAACAGAGTCGAATAGTAACATGAAAAATTAATGAGTGATTGATCTCAGAGATAGAAAATGACTCAAATTGCCAGTAAGAATAATATGTTTCATGCACTTGTATTTCAAAACAGTCCCTAATATAAGCTGGAAAGTGTTCTCGATGATGAATATAAGGAATAAAAAAGATGATGAAGAAATTATATACTTACTAGGGGGCGGAGATCAACAAGAACCAAATGGTTATCGCTCCCTCCAGAGACCAATTTGTATCCCAACTCCACAAGTCGACTCGCAAGAGCTCTACAATTAGAAACCACCTGCATGATGAAATGATGATGTCAGCATAAGTTGACATGCAGGGATAGTTAATTAACCAAAAGCGACACGTTATACCCTCTGCTGATAAGCCTTAAACTCCGGAGATTTGGCATGCTTCAGACAAACAGCAAGGCCTCCGATAGTGTGATTATGTGGGCCTCCCTGCTCATAATAGTACATTAATTGACCAAAACAACAAAATTAAAATTAGCAAATAAAAGATAGTCTTAAAGAATTGACAATTGGATCATATTCAGTAATGCAGCAACAAAGCAGACAATTTACAGACCTGTAAACCTGGAAAAACAGCATTATTGATTGCAGATTCTAACTCAACTCCAAGAACAGGCTCCTTCTTGAAAAAGATCATGCCACCTCGAGGTCCCCTGAGAGACTGGTAAAACATAGAAAGAAAAATAATTTCATAATTAGTGGGTACTTGTTCATGCAAAATTTGTCACTTTTTTTTATTAAAAAAAAGAAAGAAAGAGAGAAACAAACAAGGAATCGAGGTCAACCTTATGGGTTGTAGTTGTTACAATGTCACAGTACTCAAAAGGATCGGCAACAACAGAAGCAGAAACAAGTCCACTAATATGGGCCATATCCATCATAAGAAAAGCACCAACAGCATCTGCAATCTTCACGGGCATATCAAGCAATAGAATTTAGAACAAAGACAACCAACTATACCATAGAAACATTCTATTACCAAATATTGGAATCAGCAATTTACATAAGAACTTGTACCTTTCTCATACGGGGATAGTCGAAATCTCGAGGATAAGCACTAGCACCAGCAATTATAAGCTTAGGACGGAAGAGGATAGCTGTTTTCTCAAGCATGTCGTAGTCAACAAGGCCTACAAAACAATTTTAAAATCAGTAAAAAGGTTGTGATTAATTATATCATAAGAAACGTGAATTATGTTCTTGAAAGAACAACAATACCTGTAGATTCATCCAGTCGATAAGGCATGGATTCGAAATAAATAGATGTGCCTGATACCCGTCGCTTGGCAGTCATGAACCCATGTGACAAGTGTCCGCCATGAGGTAAATCCAAGCCCTGGAATCCATTCATGAACCACCAAAATTAACATAATTCCAAATACTCCAAAATTATTTGACGTAAACGCAAAGGAAGAAAGAAGATTATTTACCATTATGCGGTCATGTGGCTTAAGAACTGCAGTGTAAACCTCAAAATTAGCAGGAGAACCAGATAATGGCTGGACATTTACGCCCCACTTTCCTCCATCCAAATTAAAAGCTGCGAGAGCCCTCTCTTGACAAAGAGTCTCAAGTTCATCAATGTGCTCATTGCCACCATAATATCTGGAGAGAAAAAAAACCACATAGTAAATACGGGAAGAGTTTAAAGTGATGTTAAAGTGGTAATTTCCCACTCTTGAATACAGGTAACTTACCTTTTGCCAGGTAACCCTTCAGAATATTTGTTAGTGAGGCAAGAACCAACTGCTTCCATCACAGCTCGGGATGTGAAATTCTCTGAAGCAATAAGTTCCAAGCTTCTAAATTGACGGTTCTTCTCTTTGTCAATAATGGAGCGAACTTCAGCATCAACTTCGCTCAAGCCATGGTCTGCAAAGCTGCTTCCTGCACCTAAGTTCATAATAAAAATAAATTGTTGCAATTATGAATTCAACTTATTCCACAGATAGAAATGATTGGTATTCAGTCAGTTCAAGAGTGCAGTATGTGAATTGATAAGAAATATAAGTTCATACAATCTAAGATTTCGATCTAGCTTTGCTTTAGAATATACACAGATCAGTGAAGTTCATTCTTAGCCAGCATATTGTTAAAAAACACAAGGTAAAATATGTCGAAAATTTGTAGAGACAAAAAGCTGCTAGATCATCATAAAAATTATAAAGATCAGATTTATCGGCAAACTACAAACACAACAAACACACTCCACATGATAGCACGTTGCAAGAGAATTGATAGATTCAAGATAATTGATACCTGCATTTTCAGGGATAGGAACAGACACAGAAGAGGGTGGCCTCCCAGTGACTAAGCTCCCTTCAAGATGAGATGACCAACAAGGCTTCACTGAACTCATTTTCACATGATTTGAGCATCCACTCAGACCAATCCATTTTGAAGGAATCACCGATAGCTTAGCCCCAACAGGCTGTTGGATAGAATTGATCATTCCAGATCCACCACAAGCATGCATGCTGGCTCTCTAAGAATACGGTGCTCAGAAAATTCCTATATTCACATGAAATATTTACAACTAAGTCAAAAAAAATTTAACTCGGTCACAAGCTTAATCTAAATTTCAAACCAAACAATCTGTAAAGGTAAAACAAACCGATGTCATCTTCTTAAACAAACAAACATTGGTTGTCATGTAATTCTTTCAACAAACACTACAGGAACAAAGCTTCAAATACCAAAAATCTTGATTATGCTTCGAAGTACAAGTTTCCAAATCAGACCAACTTAAGGCTTAGACGACAAAAACTCTTCGGCATCACAAAAATAGTTTCAACATTTCAATTGATGGTATTTATAACTATATCAACTGCAACTCAAACGGTTGAATAATGTAATCAGACCAGAGAAGACAAAGGAAATAATACATGCAGTAATCAAACTGAGGTTCTGAGCAATATTAAGCTTCTAGCTTAACTTCTCCCCTCAATTCAACACAAAAACTATCTCTAAATCACTTCTACCGAATTAAAGCACACAAGTTAAAAATCACTGACTGAAAACGAAGCTCCAACTTTTCACCCAAAAGGCCGGCAAACTAGCTCAAATTAAGCAGATAAAATCAATCCATAACAACGTTTGTTTAACTTTTGAATTCCGAAACGAAAGGAGAAATAAAACAAAACCAAAAAGCAAAAAAAATCAAAAGATTAGCAATTCCAGAAAAAAATTACTTGACTTCTCCGGCTGCAGAATCGATTTCAATTCGAAATCTACTGCTAATCCTGGTTCGAGGATGAAACGGTTGCGCCGGGTATTTGTTCTTATCAGAAGAGCTGCAAAATGGTCGAGCGAGGTTTTAGGGGTTATATGACATATCCTATTAAGTGAGAAGTGGAAAAACTAAAACCTAGTTGCGATAAATAGTAGCAAGTGCGTGCCGCTCGATGAACCAATCTTTTGCTCTTTTATATTGAGTATATATTAATATATTAAAATAATAAAAAAGTAATAATGATATTTCCCGCTGGGAAGGGTCAAGGATTTTCGGATAAATATCATTTCGAACCCCAAAACATGATCATTTTGTCAAATCCACCCCAACAAAATAAAAAAAAGACTTATTGCACCCTTACATTAGTTAGCCCCACAACGTCTTTCATTTTACCCAAGAATGTTGTAAGATTGCACCATTTCTTATTTTCATATTCATTTTTTATGGTTTTCAAGTTGATCAATTTGATGGGTAGAAAGACGCAGTCTCTATTTGATGAAAATGCTCGGAGATATTTGGATCGAAAAATATCCACCATTGGTTGCTAGCACTACAATAACGAAATGGTGGATGTTTTGTTCGGAGTTAATCTCACAAATAGACAATATTTGTCATCACACCATTTTGTACTTCGGTTGCAAACCAAAAATTTGTAAGAAAATTGGATATTGCAAAGATAAAAACGTAGATATATTCTAAGAGTGTTTTTTTTTTTTTTAATTTCCACCCATAGTTTGTAGCTTTGTGCATATTTTGATGGTAGTATCTTTCTATGTTACATTCAAAAATTCCCCATTAATATCGAGGGATGACTTCCTAGACTAAAAACGAAACTGATAAATCGTGTTTTGGGGAGGTGCGCACTCATAGACATACATAAACATAAAAAGGGCAAAAGAAACTGAGTTAGAAGTTCTTAAGATCCTCCAAACCATAAAGAAACTGGAAGTCTATGAAATAGCTCTGCCGAACAAAATGGCCCTTTTACAAGGTACGTTGAGCTTTATCACATGATGTAATTAGATCTACACCAAAAGCCATCGAAATAAGAAGCTATACCTATATACGATTAGAACCTCATTCCACCTGTGAAAGGCCGCCACCTGTCTCCGAGCGTGTTCTGCACAAAAAAGAAATCAGTGTTTTAAGAAGTGGTCGCTAGAAAAATCCAATAAGTTGTAAATGAAATTTCGGTCAGTAGATCATCAACATGTGGAATTTGGATTGAAGTTAAGATTCCGGTACTGGTTTTTATGTTTTTTTTTTGACAGGTAGGTACTGGTTGATATTCACTAGTTGTAGTTAATTTTTTAACTCACTTGTGATCTGAAGGGTTCGGCATGAGTTCGTACACTATTGTTGCAACAACATCCCTCTTCAGCTGCATGAAATTGCAAGTTGAATCAGGTAAAATTTGGTTAATTAAAAAAAAAAAAAGGATTCAAAATTGCACCAGAAATTACCTGTGTTGCTTCTCCTTTAAACCCAATGTAATGTATTTGTGTAGTATCTCCACCAAAATTATCTGGGAAATGCAAAGTGATGTTTCCAACACTTTGAAATCTTGAATATCTGTTGATTATATCGTATGCAAAGTCAGATATTCAAGATTGATAAAAAAGATCTACTAATCAGATCTCGACACTGTTTACGTAGCTAATCACCAAGTACGGAGGAAACTTCACCTTGTCTGGTATTCCAAAACTCCTTGCAAATTTTCCACCAACTCCCATTCCTAAAATTATCGAGATTTCAATTAAGTACACTATTATAAATATATCTAAACAAAAAAATAAATAATAAAAATAAAGGAAAACAAGATGGCAGTATACCTGCACAGGTTGCATGCCCTGAGCATCTGAAAAATCGATGCCCTCCCGATTGACGAATCTACATTTAGAAGAATAGACTAATTCAGTCAATAAGCCAGAGACAGAATTGCTAACAAGGGGAGTGTCAAAATGTTTTAACACAAATTAAATCGACACTTGATAAGCAATATATTACACGAAGGGGTGTTTCTTGTCAGCAAATAAAAGGCTAAAATTGTGAGCCTAATTAACATATGGTAAATTAAAATGAAATAAGTGTCAGTTATAAGAACTCACGCTCTTATCTTTGCAGGACTTGTGCCATCAGCCCCACCAACAACTGAAATACTCTTGATCTTGACATCTGATGTAAAACTATACAAACACCAAAAGAAAAGAAGCGGGCCAAATTTCAGTAGAACTAAATGAGAATAACGAATGTGTCTTCCTTTCAATAGAAATTGCTTTTTAAGTCTATGGAAAATGGAATTTTGGCACACAAAACATAATTAAAATTTCCATGCCAAATTTCAAGTATCAGATAGCATGTTAATTCTTTTTTTCTAGCTTTGATTATATGAGCTCAAAGTTTGCTAATTTAAAGGCTTTTACTGCGCACATAAACGTAAAACAATTGGCATATTAATCCATTTCTTCTCAATGAAAAAGGAAAAAGGAATTCTCCATGGTCTTATGTAGGATTAAAGGTTGATACTTACGGAATAAATACTATCAACTCAGGATCGCCTTCATTGCTTTCCAATATACCCTGTCGCATCAGAGACAAGTTTTCAGTACTCGATGGAATTAGCTAGTAAAGCTGACAACCATAGGCAGATTCAATAGAATAAAGAAGTAAAGAATAATTTAGCATCCGTAGTCCTTCATTCTGCCAAATATGTGATTTGTGAGAGTGACTCTATTACACCCACACATGTTAATAATCTTATATATTCGAAAATATGTGGAAGTGATGGAATACCTCCGAAGAGTTAAGACGCTGCTCCCAAGCTCTAAATACTGTCTTCACACTTCCAGGCACAGCCTCGTTCAGTGCGGATACCTTTCGTACAACCAAAATTTTCAGTCATCATTTTGCTAAAAAAAGCAAAATATCATCCAACATATCCACGGTTTAGGTTCTGATATATGATCGAACATAAAACATATGAGTAGTTACGAAGCGTTTCCCAGATGAAGTCACATTCAACCTAAACAACAGTTGCATATTTATTTACACAATTAGCACCCCAAGTTTGTCACGCATAAGTACTAGAAATCTAGAAAATTCTACATATATTTTTCCCAAAAAAAACCCGAAACAATGATAATAATAACAGAAACAAAGCCACATCACAACTCTACTAAGAGAAGTTCAATAAAAAAAAGAATCATAACTAGTGAAATCACCACAAGATTACCGAAACACAGACTATATCAGATTTTTTCCTCAGCACGGCGATATAATATAAATTATAAACCAATCTAATTCACCGGACAAAATTTTCGGAAAAGCAACCACCTCGCCGCCGGAAATTTCCGACGAAGGAATTTCCTACGTCTACGAATTGATTGTTGGAACAACCAAATTCTTCAAGTGATTGAGGCAACAATTTAAATCGGCGAGGACAAAAAGTACAGTGCATATCGGAGCTCGCAAATTAATTAAAAATATAATCGAAGTTAGGAGGCATGGGGGAAACCTTGGAGAGATCTATGTGCTTGTAGAGAGACCAATCGGTGGAGCAATCATGTTCATCGCAGCTGTGATCGTGCAAGCATGCCATTTCTCTGCTCGGTTTCTGTACTGTGTGCGTATTAGTGTGTCTTACTGTGTGAAACCGAAAAATCTTTGAGAAGCGTGTCTATGCTCTTTTTACTATTTGTTTTGAGGGCATCTTTTGACTTGAAAGGAAGTTCTATTTCATGTTTGGATAACATAATAATAAAAGGGTAAAGTAGACCTTTAACAAAATTTGGAGTGGGTTTAATATTAACTAAATCAAATTGTAAACGGATAAGGACAAACTTTATTCGAATTTTGTTCCAAAAATTCGATAATTGTTGAGAATCGGAATAAAAAAAATTGTTCGAAATTCTAAAAATAATGGGATCAGAACGTAAAATTCATTATTTTTGTTTATCTATAAAATAAAATGCATGAAAATATTAATATTATAAATGTAACAATTTAAGAAAAAAACAATTTTGTTATTTTTATATATTAAAAAATTAAAATTGAATCGAATGTCATATTTAGTCAAATAATCTGAAAATTTTGCAATTAGAATTTTCGAAATTGGGGATAAAAATGTTGTTTCTAAATTAATTTACTTTTCTTTTTGTTTTTCTAACAACATCGTAATTCAAAAAATTTATATCAATTTTCTTTTGTTAATTTTCAATTTATAACTCATTTATATTTCTTTTGACTCAAGTAATTTCCCAATGAAACTAGGATCAATGGTGAAAAAAGGTTAAACGATATAAACGATAATACATTAAAAAAAATCATTGATAGAGAAATCTCATAGTCAATTTAGAAAATAAAATATTGTATATATATATATATATATTAATCCTTATATCGTTCAATTCAAGAAATAAAGTTAAAGTCCAGCATGGAGTGTATCACTATGAAATTAGAATTCTATTAGACAAAGGAGTCTAAAATACTCTATTATAAATAACGAGTTAACCTCGTTTAAGCTTTTCATCATTCACGCAAAATACAATTCTCCAAACGATTATTAGTGCTGCAAATTTTCTGTTTTTCTGTCTTAGGTAGCTAGTCATCAATCAAAATTTTCTGTCTTAGGTAGCTAGTCAAATCAACATGTATCAAGTCGCGAGTGCATCAGAGTACTTGGTGGTGACCGGTGCCGGAATACCCGACATAAAAATCTCGAAGAAAGCATGGATATTCCCCGGCCAAACGTACACAAAATTCGACGTATCTCCAGTGAACTACACGTTCGAAGTACAAGCCATGAGCGCGGAGAAACTCCCGTTCATCCTCCCGGCCGTATTCACGATCGGCCCACGCATAGACGACGAGGCCAGCCTACTCAAGTACGCCAAGTTGATCTCCCCACACGACAAGCTCTCCCACCATGTCAAGGAACTCGTGCAGGGCATTATCGAAGGCGAGACTCGAGTCCTCGCTGCTTCGATGACGATGGAGGAGATTTTCAAAGGGACCAAAGAGTTCAAACAGGAAGTCTTTGGGAAGGTTCAATTGGAGCTCGACCAATTCGGGCTACTGATTTACAATGCTAACGTGAAGCAGCTTGTCGATGTACCTGGCCACGAGTATTTTTCCTACTTGGGGCAGAAAACTCAGATGGAGGCGGCGAATCAGGCGAAGGTTGACGTGGCGGAGGCGAAGATGAAGGGTGATTTGGGGTCGAAGCTGAGGGAGGGGGAGACGCTTAGGAATGCGGCGGCGATTGATGCGGAGACGAAGATTGCGTCGACGCAAAGGCAGGGAGAGGGGAAGAAGGAGGAGATAAAGGTGAGGACTGAGGTCAAGGTATTTGAGAATCAGAGGGAGGCTGAGGTGGCGGAGGCGAACGCTGAGCTGGCGAAGAAGAAGGCCGGTTGGGCGAAGGAGGCGCAGGTGGCGGAGGTTGAGGCAAGCAAGGCTGTTGCTTTGAGGGATGCTGAGCTGCAGAGGGAGGTCGAGACGATGAACGCCTTGACTCAGACGGAGAAGCTCAAGGCTCAGTTCTTGAGCAAAGCCGGAGTCGAATACGAAACAAAGGTGTATATATATATATATATTTTTTTTTTTTTTTAATATTGTTGATATTAACCTCTCATCTACAAAATTTAAGTTGCTAGTAGTTATGGAAATTAGAACAGAATTTCAATTTCGAAAATAATTACGAAAATTTCAATTTTTCCAAAAAACTGTACTTATATTATCAATATATTTTAGAATGTATTTTATTATTAGGTGATTAAGAAAATTTAGAATTTTTCAAAACCCACCGGTCCAAAAATTCCCTATTTTGGAACAAAAAGTTTCCATTTTTTTTCGATTTTTTTTTAACATAATTATTTAGTTTTTCGATCATGAATAATTCAAATTCCAACCATCTGATTAATTGATTATCTTGTTTATTGTAACAAATAAAAGGTCCAAGAGGCGAATTGGGAGCTTTACAAGAAGCAAAAAGCGGCAGAAGCGTACCTGTACGAGAAGGAGAAGGAGGCACAGGCACAGAAAGCAGTAGCAGATGCTTCTTTTTACCAGCGGAAACAAGTGGTGGACGGTGATTTGTACGCAAAGATGAAGGAAGCTGAAGGGCTGAAAGCACTTGCCGAAGCTCAGGGCACTTACATACGCACACTTCTCGACGCAATGGGCGGAAACTACGCGGCGTTGAGGGATTACTTGATGATCTCCGGCGGTATGTACCAGGATATAGCCAAGATTAACTCCGAGGCTGTGCGTGGGCTCCAGCCAAAGATCAGCATTTGGACCAACGGAAGTGGAAGCGGTGATGGTGGCGACAATAGTGCGATGAAGGAAGTTGCCGGAGTTTACAAGATGCTGCCGCCGCTATTCAAGACTGTTAATGAGCAGACTGGCATGCTCCCGCCTTCATGGATGGGCACTTTGACCGACGACTCTACGTCAAACAATTGATATCATCATATCAATAATTCAGTATCTACATAGCTATATATTAATTAGGTTTAGATGCTTCTTTTTTCATGCTTACTTATTTCATAATTAGGTTTAGATGCTTCTTTTTTCATGTTTAATTAACAATTGCTTTCTGGCATTTTTTTCTTAATTCCTACTACTATACATTAGCAATCAAATCAAAATAGCTTTATTTTTCTTCATCATTAACCTCTGTTGCTTATTAATATTCATCATATATCTTTTAGTACTGTTTATTCTTGACAAACTTTCAATATGACACGGGGATTTATTAAAAGTCGACATCGAAGCTCGCAAATTATATAAAAAAATTGAAGTTAGAAACCATGGGTTAAACCTTTGGGAGATCTATGTTCAATATTAATAGCAAGTTCCGATAAATATTAATAGCAAGTTTCGATAATAATTGAAAACTAAATACCGATTCAAATTCAGCCAGGTGTAACATCTAATTTCCCGGTTCAAATTCAGCCAGGTGTAACATCTAATTTCCGCAAAAATGATTAACAATAAATATTTGAAGTTTTGACTCGGTTACAGATCATATACGAAATAAAAGATGGAAAAATTCTTATTAAACCACTAACAAACTCTCACGTAAACATAGTGGCAAATCTAACAGAACCTTGTTGGTTCATTCAGACAATTCATCAAACAGTTGGGCTGCTAATTTTGTCACACCAAATCAATCAGTATGTACAGAGTTGCTAAAGCATCGGAGTACCTGGTGGTGACCGGCGTGGGAATCATCGACATCAAACTCGCGAAGAAAGCATGGGTATTCCCCGGCCAATCCTACAGCAAATTCGACGTATCTCCGGTGAACTACACCTTCGAGGTGCAGGCCATGAGCTCGGAGAAGCTCCCGTTCATCCTCCCCGCCGTGTTCACGATCGGCCCGCGCATCGATGACGAGGAAAGCCTCTTCAAGTACGCCAAGCTCATCGCCCCACACGACAAGCTCTCATGCCACAACAAAGAACTCGTGCAGGGGATTATCGAAGGAGAGACTCGAGTTCTGGCCGCTTCGATGACAATGGAGGAGATTTTCAGAGGGACCAAAGAATTCAAACAGGAAGTCTTCGAGAAAGTTCAATTGGAATTGAACCAATTCGGGCTACTCATCTACAACGCGAACGTGAAGCAGCTGGTGGATGTACCTGGTCATGAGTATTTTTCCTACTTGGGGCAGAAAACTCAGATGGAGGCGGCGAATCAGGCGAAGGTTGACGTGGCGGAGGCGAAGAAGAAGGGGGATCTGGGATCGAAGGAGAAGGAGGGGGAGACTCTCCGGAACGCGGCGGCGATCGACGCGGAGACGAAGATTGCGTCGACGCAGAGGCAGGGGGAGGGGAAGAAGGAGGAGATAAAGGTGAAGGCTGAGGTGAAGATTTTCGAGAATCTGAGGGAGGCTGAGCTGGCGGAGGCGAATGCTGACCTGGCGAAGAAGAAGGCTGGTTGGTCGAGGGAAGCGCAGGTGGCGGAGATTGAGGCAAACAAGGCGGTGGCTTTGAGGGATGCTGAGTTGCAGAAGGAGGTCGAGGAGATGAACGCCTTGACTCAGACGGAGAAGCTCAAGGCTCAGTTCTTGAGCAAAGCCGGCGTTGAGTACGAAACCAAGGTATATATATAGTTTCCACTTTGCACCAATTTAAAGCATTTTGTTTTTTTCGTCAATTTACAGTTAGTCTGTTAGCTAAAGCAGTGATGGATACACGCTTGATTCCATTAGTTTCAGCGATGGGAAACGTGAGGGATGAAAACTGTATTTTTCCCGTTAAAACGTATTAGCTGGAATGTTTTGATGTGTTGATTGATTGTCTCGTGTTTCTTGTTTCTTTTCACCACAACACGACAAAAAAATACGCAAATAAAAGGCCCAAGAGGCGAATTGGGAGCTATACAAGAAGCAGAAAGAGGCCGAAGCACATCTCTACCAGAAGGAGAAAGAGGCGCAAGCACAGAAAGCAACGGCGGAGGCCGGATTCTACGGGCGGAAGCAAGCGGCGGACGGAGATTTCTACGCCAAGATAAAGGAAGCGGAAGGTCTGAAAGCACTAGCGGAAGCTCAGGGGGCTTACGTACGCACGCTTCTCGACGCAATGGGCGGAAACTACGCGGCGTTGAGAGATTACTTGATGATCTCCGGCGGCATGTATCAGGATATAGCCAAGATTAACGCCGAGGCTGTGCGTGGGCTTCAGCCCAAGATCAGCATTTGGACTAACGGAAGCGGTGACGGTCAACAACAGAGTGGTAGTAATAATGCCATGAATGAAGTTGCCGGCGTTTACAAGATGCTGCCGCCGTTATTCAAGACCGTTAATGAGCAGACTGGGATGCTCCCGCCTTCATGGATGGGCACTTTGACCGACTCCACAATAAATAATTGACCTTATATTAATACCGAACCAAACTGAAATAATCGATACAAATTAATTTTTGAAATGAGGAGGATCCATCACATTTATTAATATTTTCATAGAGCATATTAATTATTTATTTATATTTGAAATAAATTACGGTCCGTTGGGCCATAATTTAATATGCTACTAATTTATTAACAGTTGAGACTTGAGCCATTGAAAGGCCAACTTATTCCAAGGTGATATTCAATATATTTATTTCTTTATTATCTCTAAAATAAAAATATATAATAATATCGATATTATAAATCTAATTTTCTTAATTGAATCAAGATTTTGTTTTTTTTTACTATTTTTTCGTAAATTAAAATCAAATAAATAATTATAAATCTCATATATTCCAATTTTAATTTAAAAAAAAAAAAAAAGAAATTCTGAAAAATCAGAATAGAAATCCTGAAATTTAATTCCAATTTTTACTCAATTATTTCTGTTACCAAACACACCGTTCAACTCGTTCAGTCTCTCTCAATTAATATTTTCGAAATGTCAAAATCACCCACAAAATCCCAGAGCACCTTGAAACAAACGAGAACGCGAAAATGGAAGTAACAGAGTACCGGAATCCAAACCCACCGCCGGGTGGCCGCCCTCCATCTCCGCCGGCGCAGGGAAACGGCGGAGGATACACTCTTCCGGCAGGTCAATTTTCAAGCGAGGACATACTGTTCTGCATCGACATGGGTCCAGAAACAATGGCGGAGATGAAGGTAAACGGGCCCAATGGTCGACCCTACACCAGATTGGACTCCATCAAGCAAGCTATTCTGCTATTCGTCCACGCTAAGCTCACCATCAATTCCGATCACCGATTCGCCTTCGCCGCCCTCTCGAAATCCACTTATTGGGTAATTTATTTATTGCTTCATTTTACTGGTATTATTGTATAATCGCTATAGAATTCAGGTAAATTTATCTACGCTCGAATTGTTGGAAACGATCTCTTGTTAGCTATATTGGGTTGGGAATTGGAATTACCGTATGCTCATTATTTAGGTGCCACACTGCCACTAACTTATTCAAGTAGGCATTGGATTTTTTATGATGATTGGATTTTGCTGATTTGTTTTACAAGTAACGATGGGTGTATAAGATTTTAAATTGGGTAAGATTTTACAAGTAATGAATTCATTTTATTTGGGGTGAACTGTAGATTTTACAAGTAATTGATAGGATTTTCAAAACCCTACTGTTCAACATTAGTTGCTGAATTAGGTAAGAAGAACACGTGCCAGTGGCATCAAGTGCGTACGTGACAGATCATGTGCTTTTTAGTAGGCAATGAAAATAAATGAGTAATTACCATCGAAAGCGTTCTTCTGTGAAAATCGAAGTTTTTGAAGAAGTCGCCTTGACATTGGAGTATATTGTGTGTTCAGCTTCAGCCCTAAAACTTGATCTCTTTCGTTCTTTGGCTTGGTTTTTTAGCAAACTGCACCTTAATTGGTAAAATGCTCTGTTTAACATGATATGCTAGTATGTAGTACCCAAATGTTTTGCTACTCTTTAGATTATTGTATTAAAATCAACTTGGTGGTGGATTCGATTCTATGTTCTAGCATGTTTGTCACTATTGCTTAGATGCATGCCTTATCAGGACACCATTTTTTTTTCCTTTTCTATTTCTTTGTATGAATATGAACTATATAGATATTTATTCATATATCATTGCCTCAAGTTTAGAGATCATCGTACCTATACCAATGATAAGTCACATCTCAGCTGGTATTTTCTGTTCTCTACTGGGTTTGACCATGTAATCTGTTAGTTAATGTTTTGTCATATGTTTCTGGATTATAATGCCGGAAAATTTAAATGCTGCTAGATGCACTGGTTAGGGAAAATCGATGAGTTGGTTTAAATGGTGGACTTAGAGGAATGGACCAGTCTAAAAATTAAAGAACCTGGATCATTATAACATGAATTTAAGGATACACATTATTTCATCCCGTTTCCGAGTATTCAGTTGTCATCAGTGATATGCAACTTCTTACAGAAACAATTTTATTATCTTCCTTTTATTTTCATTTTGTTAGTGAGGTAAATCATTTTTTATAGTTTGAACACATGGGTCTGATTTTATCCTTTGTCTTTTGTGAAGATACGAAAAGAGTTCAGCAGTGAAGTTGACTCTGTGATTGCTGCTTTGCAAAGTATCTCAGTCGACTCATCTTCCAGTCATGCAGATCTCACTCAACTATTCAGAGTTGCAACTCATGAAGCTAAGAAATCCCGTGCACAAAATCGGATATTGCGTGTGGTGAGTAACCACCACTTAACTCGTCTAGTTATTTTTTTCGTAATCTCTTGATCTTGTCTGGATTCTTTGGCCATTTTTTTGCCATTTTAGATAAATAAAAACACTTCTACCTATCATCTTTCGTACTTTCTATTCTAGATCATACATGTAATTGAATGAGTTTCGATTATATTTTCCAAGAGATAGTCAGTCTTCTATCAAAATATGAAACATCCGTAAAAGAGTAGTGAATCATCTCCTCATTCTTTACTGGGTTATTGAGATTCATATAAAAAAAAATATATAAAAAAAAAATCCTGATTTATGGCTCCATATTCATGCAAAACAATGTATTCTGTTGTTGCAGATCTTGCTCTACTGTAGGTCATCCATGCCTCCACTATATCAATTGCCTTCGACTCTGAAACTCTTCACGTTGGATGTAATGTACCTCCACGATAAGCCCAGCCCTGATAATTGTCCGCAGACAGTGTACGATACCCTGGTGGAGGCTCTTGAACAGGTCACTGAATTCGAAGGCTACATATTTGAGAGTGGTCAAGGGCTAACACGCTCCCTTTTCCGCCACATGTGCGTGCTCTTGTGTCATCCTCAGCAACGCTGTGCGCATGATGAGGTGGACATACCAAAGTCTCTGACCAGGAAAACTCTTGCAGTAGCAGACGCATCACAGGGCGATGATAGTGTTGTTGTCTCCAGCCAATGAGATTCAACTGTCTGTTAAATCAAGAATCAAGATAAAACTTTTATGAATATGAAATCTCTCTTTCTTGTGTTGTCTGTGTAATCTGTGAATTTATCGTCTAACTTTGTGTTTCGTGTATGGATAGAAGTATCAACACTGTTGTGATGATGGAGTTCTTAATGAAAAAAAAGAAAATTCCCAATGATCTTTTTCTTTTGTTTTTTTTTTTTTTTTTTTGCTTAAATTGTGGAATAAAATAAAAGTTGATGCATTATTGGATTCATATTCTTGAATTTTTTTTTATTATTTTTGTAGAAGAAATCGAGACTTATTGTGGATAAGATGAATGAGTTTTAGTTCAAAATCATTATGTTTCTTCTTCTTCTTCAGACCTCAATAATGGAGTTCAATATTCATATATGTTGAATGGATGATCTGATCCAAATATGGGATTGAATTATGGCGATGTGTATTATTATGCCTCTAATATAATATCTTCAATCAAGTTTGAAATTTTGAGATTGTGATAACCACTAACATTACAATACTTCATTTTCGAAAAAAAAATTAAATCGGATTAGTCAAATAATTTAATTTTAAATAACGACTTCGATTTTTTTGATTCGATTCATTACTTGCAAGCTTCTAGAAATGCACAAGTGTAACTGAAATTTCATACAATTTGATTTATTCAAAACTATTTATCAGCATGCAGGCCACAGGCATCTTACTTCTGTAGTGATGATGCTGTAAAACAAAAGGAAGAATAAGAAGAGGATCAGAATCTGACGAGGACAAAAGAATAATATACAATCCATAGGAGACCCGTTTTGCAATTATGAAAAATACATGGAAAGGGTAGGGTTAAATTGAATTTTGAATGACATTTGCTAATATAATTTATACTCGTATTTATATTCTCTGACTACACATTAAATGGTTTCAAAAGCTTAAACTTTCATGAAGAAGCAAAATGATTTCATCGTTGCAACTTACAATTAATTTTAAATGTATTCCATTAATTTCGATGTCATATTATTGCCCTTTCATGATATTGTAACGTCTTTCATTTGCTTAATGAACTCAATTTAATTTGTCCAATTACCAAAATAAGTTGTGAGTTGTGGTGACAAACCTCAATAAATAAACAATACAAAAATAAACTCTTCTTTGCTTTATCTAATTGGATTAAAGAGGTGTGCAATATACATTCAATAAATCAGTATGATGAATAAGTTGATTGTTACATAATTAAGGGTTATTAGAAAAAGGTTATTATTGGATTAAAATATTCATTTATCAAACCAAACTAAGTCGCGAATACACACGTGGCATGGGTGGGGGCAATTCGGGGGACAAAAAACATGAAAACTAAACAGAGTATTGTTTGTCAAACATCTGTTTTTTTTTTTCTTCCAAACCTTTCGGTTGCTCCAATCAGCTTTGGAACATTGTACATTATTATTATTATATAAATGTAATTATTAATAATAAATAAATACAAGTATGTGGACAAGATCCTCATTAATTTTGGACCTTTCATCAATATTCCTAGCCACCATTTTTGTTTTTAAAATCACCAAAGTCAACTGAAGTAGATGCCAATTATCATCAAATTGGGAAAAAGTCAACTACACTCCAAGAATCAAATTCTATCTTATGAGGTGTGATGTGAGGAGGTTCTTTAATTTCACTACTAGTAGTAGTAATAATATTTTTACTTTTCACTATAAAGTACTCCCTCCGTCCCAATTTAAATGACGTTTTGGGTTGTTACACACATATTAAGAAAATCAATAAATGTGTATAGATTATAGTGAAAAGCATAGGAAAATACTAATATATCCTTGACATTAATTATTTTACAACTAACAAATTAGGAGTGATAAAAGGTAAAATTGAAAATAATGCAATTAATGATGCATTGAAAATCTAAAATGACAAATAAATTGGGACAAAAAAAACTCTCTAAAAAGAAATATAATATGGGACATAGGGAGTAATAAGTAGCCAATAAAATCTCAATATGAAGGTCAAAATTTTGATTAACTTTTTTTTTTTATCACTAGTTTTTTTTGACATGAAAAACTTTGAAGCTTTGAATGTTAATCTTATTGTCTACTTTTACTAATTATATAATCTTTAATTAATTAATTAATTAATTAATTACGTTTCATAGTGCCACAAACTTGGGAAGGGCTTTATCACCAGTTGGCATTGCTATTAATTTAATATTATAGTTCCTAAAAATTGCATCATAAATAATGTATGCTTCATTTATTTATTTATTTGACAGCTTATTTTTTTCTTGCTGGAAAACAAAGTGATTAGATGTTGCATTCAAGCTTTAATGCGTGTGGACATTTTATATTAAACAATTACCTAGAATTATGATTAATCATAGTGTTTCTTTCTGGAATTTTAATTCCACCTGTTTTTTTTTCATATTACTTATTAATTAAGATTTAGACCTCGAATTAGCTTTCTAATTAGACCAATTAAGGAGAAAAATTAAACAAATAATTAATAAAGACAGACAGCTCAAATTGGTTTAGCAAGCAATATAATCCATTACTAAAACATTTTATTTTATGGAATTATTGTCCAAAGGAAATCAAAAAAAAAAAAAACTCTTATTTATTTATTTATATAATATTTGGTATATTTAAATTTAAAAAATTGAAAGTCAAAACCCAAATAGGTGAAATTGGTTATTATTATAGTGGGGCACCTGTTTTCTGCATACTAATTAAATCCTACATAAGTACACATCGGATTGCCCTTTGAAATGAATCTTGGGGTAGCCTTTAATATTAATCTAACAATTAAACTATTCTTTTATGAATTAGAACAATAAAATAAAAGCAATAACTCAATTATTGAACCACATTGCAAAAAATTTCAACTCTCTACTATTCTTTTAAGAGTTAAATGCAAAAACACCCCCTGTGATTTTCCTAAACACCAAAAAACCCCCTAGGTAAAATTAAGTGACTAAAACCCCCCTGTGATCAGTAGTCAAAGTCATAAACCCCCCTCTATCTCATTCGTGTCATGCACGCGCTACCAGCGCGACTGCTGGTGCGATTTTTTGTGTGAAAAGACGCAAGTGCCCCTCTAAATCTCTCTTTAGTTTTTCTTGTACCATTTTAAACAAAAACAAAAGAAAAAAATCACTAAATATAAATGAATTAATTAAAAAAGAACAAAACACAAAAAAAAAAAACCAAAAAAAAACAAAAAAAAAAAAAAAGAAATTGGAATTTCTTCCTCCCGTCAAACTGACGACCAACCCCAAATTCATCTTCTTCGCCCATTTTGTTGTCCGACATCGCCATCTTCTCCGACGTTGCCCAGCGACCGCCGCCGCCGCTCCTGCTGCTGCCGCCGCCGCCGCCGCGAGTTCAGATCTTCTCTAAAGTCGTCGCCAATCGAGGTCCGGCGAGCTACACTTCGCCGAATTCTCCGACGAATAGCAAAGCCCATCGCAAAATCCTCTCAAACACAGCTGCCGTTGCAGCCGCCGTTGAGCTATGAGCTGAGAAATTGAAATTGAAGTGTGCGTTGTTTTTTTTTTTCAATTGGAGAAGAGGGCTAAATTGAAAGTGCTAGGGACTGAATTGAAAATTTTGAAAATTTCATTTGAGTCATAAAATTCTAGAGGTTGGATATATTTATCTGAAGGGCATTTTTGTCTTTTCGCGAGCGGTCAACAGACAAAAACAAAAAAGGGTCGAGTGTGCCTCATTGAGCATTTGTTAGGGGGGTTTTGGTGACTTATTTTTTCCCAGGGGGTTTTTTGGCCTTTAGGAATTACACAGGGGGTGTTTTTGCATTTAACTCATTCTTTTAATGAATTAAAATATTCAGCAAATTAATTACCTGCATATTCCATTGTCCCCCATTCCTTATAAATGGGGACTACCTCTTTGATTCCTAAAGTACACAACAAAAATTTAATTAATAAAAAGAAAAAAAGAAAAAAGAAAAATGGGAATCTGTGCTTCGAGTTCATCTTCATTAATACATGACGATAATTTCGGGCATGAAAATGCTGTTTACCACACCGAAATTACTACTTCCAATACAAACAATGGATCACAGAGAAGAATCGGGTCAACATATTCTCATACTGGAAGCAAGGGATTGAATCAAGATACTGCTATTCTTTTCCAGGTACACATTAAACCTTTTTTTTTTTTTTAATTGTTGAATTTTAAATTAAAAATAAAATAATTTTAATTTTAATTTTGTTTAGGGGTATGGAAATGAAAAAGGAGTATATTGTGGGATATATGATGGGCATGGGCAAAATGGGCACGTGGTGAGTAAGATGGTGAGAAACCGGCTACCGGCTTTGATTTTGAGCCAGATGACCGAAAAGTTCGGAAGTGGTGACCAATCAGGATTGAGTATTATTAATTTGGTTAAATGGAAAGAAGCTTGCATGAGTTCATTCAAAGTTGTTGACAAGGAAATTAAACTTGTTGATGGTTTGGATTGTTCTTGCAGTGGCTCCACTGCTGTTGTTGTTATTAAACAGGTAATTAAATATATTTTGATTTTTTTTTTTTTTTTTTTTTTTTGGGTTTTTTTTTTTTTTTTGTGTGTGTGTGTATTGACGGTGTATAACTGCGTGTATAGGGTGAAGATCTTGTTGTAGCAAATCTGGGAGACTCAAGGGCAGTTTTAGGAACAAGAAGTGAGGATGGAATCATGGCCGTTCAATTAACTACTGATCTCAAACCTGGAGTAAAATGTAAGAATAATTTATTTTGTAGTCTCTATAATGCAACGAGTTTATTGCATTTAGTACCCCTGTATTATATCAAATTGCTAAAAAACTCCTCGTATTATTGATATTAGCAAAAAAAACCCTTTTAATGCTTTTTTTGGCGCATTAGTCACTAAAAAGTGCAATTTAGGGGGCAGTTTGCTAATAGGGTGTTTTTGCTAATATAATAACACGGGGAGGTTTTTAGCAATTAGATAAAACAGAGGGGCGTTGAATGCAATAAACCCATAATGCAACATATTATGAATTAAAACATAATAAAAAAATTAATAAAAAAAATATGTGCAGCTGAAGCAGAGAGAATAAGAAGGTTGAATGGAAGAGTAGTTGCATTGGAAGCAGAACCACATATTCAGAGGGTGTGGCTGCCTTATGAGAACTCACCCGGCCTAGCAATGTCGCGTGCTTTCGGAGATTTCGTGCTAAAAAATCACGGCATTATTTGCATACCTGATGTCACCTACCACCGTTTAACTCCAAACGACGAGTTCATTGTTCTTGCCAGTGACGGGGTAAGAAATAAGCGCAACTCAAAATAAAACCAAAAAAAAATCGATATACCAAAATATTTTTTCGCGATTAATGATTTTAATTTTTTTTTTCAGGTGTGGGATGTGATGAGTAACAATGAAGTTATGGGGGTAGTCTCCTCGTCTGCACATAACGAAGAGGCAGCGGCGAAAGCAGTGGTGGATGCTGCGATTGCTTCGTGGAAACACAAGTTTCCGAACTCGAAGAGAGACGACTGCACAGCTATTTGTCTCTTTTTGCAATAAATCAGTAGTGTGAGGACTTGTGCAGATAATTCAAACTTTCTTGAATATGAGATTGTGCACAATCATAAAGTTCACTTGGGGATGTTGTAATGAAAATTAGTTGTTTGGGTTATCTGATGATTTGGTTGTGACAAATCAGAGGCCTGTACTAGAGGTTAATACTATAGTAGATAACTGGGAACCAATTAGAATTGGAACTCTAAGCTTGATTAACGAATAATGTTTGTATATTTTAGCCTTTTTTTCTCTCATTTTGAGTGGTAATAATAATAAATAAATAAAATAATTCTTTTTCTATGAAATGATTTGTCTTATTTAAAAGGTTAATACATGCATAATTAGCCAAATCATCATTTCTCAAAAAAAAAAAAAAAAAATTAAAAAATTAAAATAAACAATTTCAAGAAACGAAACATGTGCATGTTCTCGATTTCTCATCATTACTATATGCTTATCTCAAGAGATGCAAAAACACGAATCGAAACAACTGAGCCCCACAAAATCGGAAAGAAAAAGGTCAAAAAGAGTATTTCAGAAGATTTTTTTATCATTAAAACCAGAAGGGTATTTTTTTTAAAAAAGATGGTCTTCTGATTGTTCTGAAAAATGAAGGCAGCGTTTCATTCGAGTGAATCTAATTTATCTTTTGGATCCTCTTAGTTGCCAAACAGATCGTCATATGTTACTGGCATTCGTATTCGATCATGAACAGAAGCACGTTTCTGTCCAGGTGTCGTGATTTCATGATGGCTTTGATCATGAGATGTAAGATCTGGACCGTCCGATGGATTAGGTGTTGCTAGCTTGGCATTAACAGTGTTGTTCTGCGAAGAAGCCCCTGCTTGTTGCTTAGGTTCTTGCTTATCGAGAAGTTGCTGCTTGAATTGCTTCTGCAAAGTACATTAAACTAACACATCAGCACTTCAATACTAAATACAAGGACAGCAAATTAACGAGGCATGACTCAAGAGTGAAGTATCAGGGATCCTTAAAATGTCAGAAGTTCAGACTTCAGACCATAGAACCGAATCATTTTCATTACTTACACAATAGTAGCAAATTATTCATCTGAGAGCAGTTTTAAGGGAAAAAGTAGTCAGACAAGATTCATTTCTTAAAATTGACACAAGTATTCTTCAACGAGTGCAAAACAAAACTGAGGAAACACCATCGAATAGAGAGAAGTTTGTTTTTTTTTTTTTTTTTGGGCTTTTATTTGTGATGGAAAAGAAGAGGATGCATGAGGTTTTGCTAATATTTGCATATGAGTGATAACAAACCAACTTCTCAAAATTCAACCGTTGCCCAAATTTCTAACTTCATCGATGATGCTGATTTACTTAAGTAATACATATCAATGTTTTTATACTTGAAAGGGAGAATCCAACTGCAAATTAAAAATATTCTACTTCCCTAAAGAATTTTGCAGCAAAGCAAGAATAATGGCATGATTCACTTTAAGAAAGAAAAAAAAAAAAAAAAAAGAAGACATACCTCAAACTCTTTTCCTTTTCTCATAATCTCTTTGTAAGCCTTTGGATCACGCGATTTGATGATATTCCATAATATTCCACCACCATTCCGAGAACGTCTGCCGTCAACAGTCATCTGACCTCCACAAGCCTGAATTGCATCAACCTACAAGTTTGCCTTTTCACGTTAACAATCTTGGGAATGAAGTTGAATAAAAACATCAGAGACGGGGGGAGCTAACAGCAATCGCATTCAAATGGCGCAAGAAGACACGTTTCACATAATTCTAAACATAAAACTTGCACAAAACATTTTGATCCTTAGGGCATCATATTTCACAATAAGCCAGATACGAGTATGTACACTTTAGCCCATTGAGTTTCCAATTTAGTTCATCTCTTCAGTTATAAATGGAGATTAAATCTGACTAAAAGGTTCCCACCTCATTTTTAAACTGAGTTTTTGTTTACGATTATCCAGAATTTTAACCCCATCTGTAGCATAAACATTTGTCTAACCCCACACATGCAATGTTCATTTTCCAGCCCCTTTTTTTTCAAAATTTAAAGGTCTGACATTGTATAGGTTCTACCAGTCTCATGACATGGGTGAGGAGGTTGGAAGAGTAACAGATAGAGCAAAACCATTTAAATTAACCTACATTAATAGAAATCGTGTTGTTTTTGGAAATAATCTATCTCAGACGAAAATTTCATGTGCATCGTAGCAAGGACTTCTTTGGTCTGAAGAATCCGCGATTTAAGTGAGATAACATCGAGGATCAGAAATATGGAGGAAGTGGTCTTAAGCATGTACATCAAGACAGGTAACCAGAGTCTCACCTTTATTCACAATTACCAACTATATTTCAGAGTTTACCAAAAACTCCAGATAGATGGTTTATAGAACTTTCAACATCAACCACTACAAGGGAGTTCATATGATTCAAGGCCAGAGATCAGCCACAGTACATTAATCCACTTTGGAAATTCCAATAATTAATGCAAACAAGCATGATGGTATCACGTAACAAGCGCAAAGGGTATTAGTAATATACTACCAACAAGGACAATGATGTAATAGAAAACTAAGCAGGCGTTCCTTTTTTTTTTTATTCCCCAAAATTCGCATGCAAACACATACCAAAATTTATCCAAATAATGATGATATCTGAAGTAATGAACTATGACCATCACCAGGGCACTGGAAGTTTTGACGTACTTCACTGGATTCAAATATCACTGAATGATTAATAAAATGAAATTATATTGCATGATGAGAAATCCACAAAAAAAAGAAAGTGATGCTACCTATTTCTTCATGTCTTTAGCAAAACTCGGATCAGACTGAATTGCAGGGTGCAGCAAATCCTTCAAGTTAGTACTCCTTATATTATTCATAAACCGTGACTACCCTTTTTGTCAATAATTTCTATCGGAAGATGACAAAAGAGCAACAAGATACTATACATTTTCACACTCATGGAGAAACTCCTCTAACCGAGATCGCAGACTACATCAGAAGCCAAATCAAGCGAAGTATAGTATCTAAATTTAAGGATTGCAATTATCTTAGTGGTGGAAAAATAGGAAAAGGTCCAACAAACTATCTTTCATCAGATCGAAACAAAAAACAAAAGGAACTTCACTAACCTCTTTGACAAGATCGCTCAAAGCCGAGGCACCAAGACAAGCAACAGCAGTCCACATAAGATAGGATTTCCTTTCTCTTAAACGATAGCATGCATCAGAAACGAACCTAATGAAATTGGCATGAAAATAAAACAATCACCAAAATGTGGAAGTAAATGCTGAAGTTGAGCAAAATAAAATAAGCTATACATTATAATACAAGAAGCATCATAAAAAATAAAACTGTAGCTCATGGACAGATTAAACGAATAACTAGCAAGATGTGCAACATGCGATGTGTCATGTGTGAACAAATATCAAGTAAACGATTATTTTTTAATGAACAGTAACAAAATCACACCATAAATGAGTAATGTAAAACAAATATAAAAAATGAAGCAACATAATGCCGTGAAAAATATCAAACCTGTCGATATCTGTTACGTTTGGGTCCTTACTGCTGCCTTTCTTTCTCTTGTTTTTCTTTTTCCGCTTCTTCTTCTTTATCGAAGTCCCCCTGTTAGATTCTTGATTTACTTGATTACAACCAACATCAGAACTTTCTCCTAATTTAGTCTTTGAAACCTGTTCAATTAACTCACCCTCTTCAACATCAAGCATCTCAACATCTTGTGCATCCTCAAAACCTTCATCGTCGAAAATCGTGTCCAGCAAGCTTTCTCCTCCTTCCATGTGATCAAGTAGCTGCAGTAGCCATTCAAGTCAAATACTCTCCACATAAGAGCATAAAATTGAACAAAAAATTACATTAAATTGTGGTTTGCAGTATTTAAACTGTACTTTGACAAACTTGTGTGTAAATTGTAATACTGGATCGTAATGACGAGCCAAACATGATATAATCTTTTAACAAAAAATTTTGAAGCACCAAAAATTAATTCTCAACAACATGTTCTGCTAATATGCTTCAACAAAACACCACGAGGAAGCCCTACCAAAACCAAAAAAATACATTGAAGAAATGGTAATTATGGCGGCGCCTAAGAAAAATGCAATCATGGCCAAAACAAACAAAAATAGAAAAACGACTTAATTTATTTTCCTCGTACGATATTACCTGTAGGTTTCAGTTCAAAATTCAAATGAAACAACCCTAACAAATTTATGCATATATAACAGAACATAATTGAATACTGTGAAACGTAAACAGAGAATTGAGTGTAGAAACGGATAGAAATCAAAAGATAAATATTACTAACTCTGGATTCTGGAAACTACTGCTGAATAACCTCACGACCACCGATAGCGGAGAGCTTCAACAGAGAACTGAGCAAATTCTAAATGAAGGAAATATTTTTAAGTTTTTTGTGTGGGCTTATTGATATTGGTTCCAGTGTGGGCCGGGCCGATTTTTATTTCCTTTCCCTCTCACTAAATCTACTGGGTTATCGAATTTCAATTTATTGGGTCATCACTTCGTCAATTTACGAGTTTTAAAAGAACAAAATAATAATTAATTAATTAATCAATCAATTATTAATTTAAATTCGACAAATTTAAATCCTTTAATTAAAATGAAATCAAGAGAATTCTGATAGGCCACTGGATCTATTGTTTGGAAAACAAAAAAATTATTTGGGTTTTTTTATCGAACTCTGTTTGTTGATTGGTAATGATGTGATTGTGGTGTCAGCCTAGCTTGCTTTTACATTAGCTTCTAGTTGATCTTGGTCGGGAGCCGGTTCTATAAGCTTCGACGATCAAGTCAGAAGAGGGATTTTATTTGTATGCTGTATGTTTTAGTAAAAAAAAATAAACACTAGTCCCAAGGAATTTGATAGGTATTTTGTGTATTGAAATGCAAGATTCAATATGATGTTCAATGTAAATTTTTTTGTATCTGAGTATGCCGCATTTAATGAACTTTTAAGTTAAATAAGTTTCAGTTCTCTTAAAATATCGATCCGAGGTCTCGTCGTAACACCTTATGACCATAGCTCGTGTCATCATACGATATAAGGTGCTAACGGCGTTTTCTCCATGATAGAATTTTATATGCTTTTTAACTGGGCTTTTAATTTAGCCCTTCTTATGATTTTGTCACTTTATTTATGAAAATAGTCCAATATCAATTCATTTGTGATAGTAAATGTATGAATAAAACCAAAGGGCTCTATTTTCTTCTATGTAGATTGTCCGTATTCTATGATTTTTCTTTTTTCAAAATAAAACATTCAGTAAAAATATATATATATATATATATAGTTTTTACTTTATAGTGATCTAAATATCTCAATGGACGGTCCAAATTCATTGACAAAATTGACAATCAAGTGTAGGCTACACAAGTCTCTATTTGGTAGGCCCCAGATATAATGTTGGCTGGAGCTGGACCCAAACGTTAATGACCATTTCAAAAAAGCAAGGCCTTGCTTGGAACCAATCACTGGATGCCACGTCAAATGCCAATGTAGTTTGGATCAACTGTATTTGGAGTTTTAACAAATGATTGCTACAGAAATTGAAGATGCGAAGCAGAGAATCCCACTCCCGTCGGTACTACGTCACTGATGAATCTCCTCTCTCTATATATCCATTATAAAATATTCCTAACGCAACCATACTCAATTATTGATTTATTTCCCACGAAGTCAGGGACGATAGATGATGGTGATGATGATACGCTACGTCGCCGGTGCACTCTTCCTCACTGCACTCTCGATCCTGACCGTTGCCGACGGACGGCATGATTTCATCAAGCTCCCCTCCGACGGAACCGCCGGAGCAGACGATGATTCCGTCGGCACCAGATGGGCTGTCTTACTGGCAGGGTCGTCCGGTTACTGGAATTACAGGCACCAGGTAAATTCATCTCGTCCCCCCTAAAACTATATATAATTTTTTTCGTTTATTTGAAACAATTGAAGCTTTACTTCTGTAATTTTTGTTGGATACTGTAATTTTGACCCTTGGCTGTAGGTTTCAGCTAGTAATTATTGTATTATTGGAAGCCATTTTTTTAAACAGCATATAGTGCTCTGTTTTAGTCTCTGATGATTAGTAACTAGTAACTACTGATTTAGCAGATCGTTTACTTTTTAATTGCTGATAATTTCAAAAATATCTTCAAATTTTTGAAAAGTTTTGTTTCTAGAAGCATCTTCATTTGTTTTGTCATTATTTTTTTTTTCTTCTGTTTGGGGGTGGAGGACCTTGTTGTTATAAGTTGACCTTCATGGATAAAATTAATTGGTGCTGAATATTCAGAATACGGATCTTTAGTACTCGATTTTCTGTATAATTGACTTAACATTAATATTATGTTAGCATATCACTATTGCGAAATCTCGTGTTTGTACAACGAAGGCAAATAGGCGGGCATTAGTGTCGAGCTAAGCATTATTCCGCTCCTTATGGAATTAGCTATTCTATAACCTGATTGCAACCGTTGTAATTAGTCATCAATGATAAATCCATTGTTTAATCCCATACGATGGTATGTTGTCTGCATACTTTATCCGAAGGGCAAATCATGGAGGTTAAATGTTGCTGTAATATAATGATAACATCTTACGATTATTTTCCTCTAATCTGGACACTAATATAATTCGAGCGCTGTTTTGTACCAGGCTGATATCTGCCATGCATATCAAATCTTAAGGAAAGGTGGTCTGAAAGATGAAAATATCATCGTCTTTATGTATGACGACATTGCCTACAATATCGAGAACCCGAGGCCAGGTGTCCTCATTAACAGCCCTCACGGTGAGGATGTCTACAAGGGAGTCCCGAAGGTTTGTGTAATTTCTTTTGTCTTTTATTTGCTTGTTGATTTTGCAAACTGAGTATTCTTTTTCTAATATGGTAATTTTTTTGAGGCAGGATTATATTGGAAACGATGTTACACCAAATAACTTTTACGCTGCGCTTCTCGGTAACAAAACTGCACTGACTGGAGGTAGTGGAAAGGTTGTAGATAGTGGTCCGAATGATCATATATTCGTATTTTATTCAGATCATGGCGGTCCTGGAGTTCTTGGTTAGTACTTCTTCCAATGTCATAAATTTATCGATTGCTTCTTATTAGTATTCGTTATTTCATTTTACTTAATCTGCACCTAGAACATTACGAAAAACTAGAAAAGATGGCGTCTTATATATATTCACCTTTTCAAGAAATCTGTTCTCCGTACTTAGTTCTCAAAGCATATCAATAGTTGGAGATTGTCCTTTCTTTTTTTTCTTCGGAAAATGTTTGATTTGTTTTCAATATTTTACACAGGGATGCCTACAAGCCATTACATATATGCGAATGATCTAATCGAGGTCTTAATAAAGAAGCATGCTTCTGGAACATACAAGAAATTGGTAATTAATCAGTTATTAAATTTCCATTGTGTGCAATCGTTATTCTAGAAACGAAGGCCTGAATATTTCCATCAATATTTTTCAGGTATTTTACCTCGAAGCTTGTGAAGCTGGAAGTATATTCGAAGGTCTTCTTCCAAAAGGGTTGAATATATACGCCACAACTGCGTCAAATGCTGAAGAAAGCAGTTGGGGTACATACTGCCCTGGAGATTACCCAAGCCCTCCCCCCGAATACGAAACTTGCTTAGGCGACCTTTACAGCATTGCTTGGATGGAGGACAGGTCCGTAATTTCCTCACTTCAATTGCATATGTTTTTCTTTTTTGTCTTGATTAATAATTTAGTATTGACATTGCAACATTATGAACAGTGACATTCACAACCTTCGGACTGAAACTTTGAGCCAGCAGTACGAATTGGTATGAAGATAAATAGTTCTTCTACGGCTCTTATGTTTTTCTACTGATATAAACTTGATGAATTTAATATTGTATATATCTCTGTTGGGATTTTCAGGTCAAGAAACGAACAGCAAATGAAAATTCTTATTACGGTTCCCATGTTATGCAATATGGGGATGTGAAACTAAATGCAGAGAGTCTTTTTACGTATTTGGGTACAGATCCTGCAAATGATAATCTTACCTTTGTGGACGAAAATTCTCCGCTTCCATCTTCGAAACCTGTTAACCAACGAGATGCTGATCTTCTACATTTCTGGCATAAGGTATCAATTTTATTCACAATGTATTCTTTTCTTATTCTTTTTTCATTTTGTGCTCGAAAAATCATTTGTTGATCGACCAATTGCAGTTCCGCAGAGCACCTGAAGGTTCTGACAGGAAATTTGCAGCTCAAAAGCAACTCTCCGAAGCTATGGCACACAGAACACATGTTGATAGCAGTATTAAACTTATCGGGAAACTTCTTTTCGGAATTGACAAGGGCCCACAAATGCTGAAGGCCATGCGACCTTCTGGGCAGCCTCTTGTCGATGATTGGGATTGCCTTAAATCGCTGGTAACATATCATCTTCTAGTTTGTAACTACAGAGAATTTTTAAGAAAAATACGTAAATGAATTCAAATGGGGAAAAAAAGGAGGAAATTCGTATAATTTGTAACATAAGATTATATATTTATGCAGGTTAGAACATTTGAGACTCATTGTGGATCACTATCGCAATACGGAATGAAGCACATGCGTTCTATTGCCAATATCTGCAATGCCGGTGTGACGAGAGAGCAGATGGCTGAGGCATCTGGCCAAGCCTGCACTAGCTTCCCTTCTAATTCTTGGAGCTCTCTACATAGGGGCTTCAGTGCTTGATCGGCACTTCAAAATCGGGGAAATTCCGGATATTTGAAATATGATCTCGTATATATTGTGAAGTTGGATTTTAATTTATGTGGATATATGTAAGAAAGAAAATGATGTTTGTTACCATTGTTAATATGGTGGGTTTGTTGTATATACATCCTCAAAAGAAACATCACTGCTGGGAAAGTTTGTTGTAATATAGGTATATGTGTTTGTAGTTTTCTTTGTTCATATTGTACTTTGGTTGTATTGTTATTGTATGATGAAATAGTTTGGAACTGAAGTATCTTCAATTTAATAGTTTGTATATTCTAAGAAGAAACTTGCCTTTGTAGATTATTACTTTCCCATCAACTGAGTAACTTCCGATTCGAATATTTTCAATTTTCAAAAGATATTTTGTAATTCCAATTTTCGAAAGTTGTTGGTTTTTTGCCCAAATGTGGGCTGGGCCAGAAAGCCCAATTACTCTACTATTTTATACACCACCATATTGAGTTAAGCCCAAGAATTAATAAGTGAGCCCAATCCGTTTCTGAGCCAAATCCATCCGTCGGATTTCTGGCTGAATTTGGACCGTTCATTCACTCACTTATATACCCTCTTCTCTCTCATTTTTCCTCTCATTCTGAAACCCTTGCTTTCCCTTCTTCTTCTCCGCCGCTCCTGCTTCTGTCTTCTTCCTCCCTTGTACTGCCTTGACTGATTAATGGTTGGAGGTCAAAGAGCATGGTACATAGCTGACTTTGACCCTCCAGTACAGCCTTCACCGGCTCTATTTGACTTCAGTCCCTATAAATACAGGTATGGAGGTTGGAAGAGGATAAGATACAGATAAAACCCTAAACCCGACCTAAATCCCTCAGTTTTTCTATTTGTGAGTTCTGAAATTGGGGTTTTGGTGAGTGGGTAAGCTTGAGTGCTTGATCTGTTCTTCCTTCGTGGTTTTTGGGTAAACTAGGGTTTGTGTGTTGAGAGAGAAAGAAGATTTGTTCTTCTTGAGGTACTCTGGTGGTGTATACTGAAAGTGTGAATTTCTGGTGTGAAAATTGGAAGACTGAGCTGATATCCTTTATCTATTTATTTTTCAATTTAATCACCCTTTTTTTCTATCTTTCTGTTATACATATATATATATATTCTCCTTGGCAGTAATCAATACTGCACAAGGGAAACTTATATTTATTTAGGCTTTATGGAGTTGGGCAGTTTGATACCCTACAAAAGTTTCGATTTTTATTTGAATGAAATTGAAATACATATTAAATTTCGAATTACGGTCTTATTTTAATTTAAAAAATCAGCGGGTCAGGACGAAATTAGCACCTTTTAGAAAATTTTCAAACTTTTTCGGAAGTTAAAATCGGACCGAAATCGATGAAATTCGAAAATTTGTTCCAATTACCACAAAAACAATCCAAGAGAATATGACCTAAAAGACTGTTTATTATTGGCTTCTCCGAACTCCAAAGTCCAGTGGGTTCTCCGTTCAAAACAGAGGATTAAGTTAACCTAACCATAGTTAATTTAATTAACTAAGGTTAAGTTAATCAATAGGCTAGGAGCCAGTGGCACCGGTTAACGAGAAGGCTCCACGATAAAACTATTTGCAAATTTAAAAAAAAAGACGTAAAACGGCAAACTAACGGCGTAAGAGATTCCGTCAGACAATTTGACGCCGTGAATCGTCATCCAGCGTTTATGTGGGGCACATACAATAACATTAACGCCGTTTATCAGAGTTAAAACGAGAAGCGATCCACACCGTCGATATTATTCTAATGGTTGCGGATAGAAAATGTAGAACGAGAGGGTATAAAAATGGTGTTAGAAAGGGGAAAGAGAGTATTTCGTTTTCTTTATTTTCTTTCTTCACAAGGAGGAGTAGAAAACAAAACTCTCTCTCTCTCTCTCTCCTCTCTCATAATTTCTAGGACAATTTACAGAAATTTTAGCAGTGGAATTTGGTGAGTGGAAATGCAGAGGATTTCCTATTATCAGATGATCTGAACCTCCTTTTTTTTGTGTTCCCGATGAGAAATTCTTCACTCTGTATACAAATTTTACTTGTGATATGAGTTTGATTTTCTGATTTACCATTTTTTTTCTGAACTACAGGTACACATTTCCGTGTCGTCTTGGGGAAGATATAGAAGTTTGATTCTGTTAACACGATTTTGAGGAATTTTGGGAGGACTTTTTGAGTCCAGAGGTTCGTTATTGTCATTTATGCCTTCATTTTTTTGTTTGATTAGTTTTGGGAGTGATTTGTTGTTTTTTGTTTGACAGGTAAATTTCTGTGAGATTTGAGATCGGCCTTCTGGTGAAGAAAAGAAATCGGAACCTCAATCTAGTCAAATCGGTAAATCGGAGGTTTGAAGAGTAAATCAGCTGAAATCGCTCTGAATTCTACGTTTTTCTGTATCCTGTATGAAATCAATTCGGAGTTTCTAAGGTAATTTATTTCGATAAGATGAGAAAAATTAACGTATAAATTGTATTGTGAATAACGTTTTATTTTGGCTTCTGTTATCACAGATTCAGAGGACTCTGTTTTAACTGATTCGGAAGGAAGAAGAAAGTTCATATTTTTCTTCCGCAGAAATCAGTCAATTCCGGTGAAAGATATTTTATTTGAACAGCGGTGGGAGATAATTGAGATTCACCGGTAATGTGACAATCACTTTTTTGCCTCTTCTTCAAAATTTGGCCTCTTCCTTCAAATTGTTTAAGCTTCACTTTCACATAAATCTCTCCCCAGAATTTTCTTCTTCGAAATTGATCCGACTTCTTTTCTTCGAAATCTGGAACCTAAAAATCACGTGTTAAAATTCCAACCACCTCTGTTCCTTGTGTTAATCGGCCTCTGAATCTCAGATATCAAATCGGATCGATTGCCTCAGAAAATTAGAACTGCTTACTAAAAAGAGTGCTATACTATATATGGCTATATATATTTTTTTTTCCAGAAATTACATCTCATCATTCACTGATGATGAAACCACGCATTCATCTCCATTTCTTTCCTTGTTCCAGAAATGAAAAAAAAATAAAAATACAACTCTTTTGTAATTGGCCAAAAAGTTTGTGTGATTTCCGATGCGACATCGTTTCTCTCCATTTTTTCCGATTTGTCGGAAATATAATTCTCTACCGTTTGAAATTTTATTACTTTTCTCTCTCTCTCTCTCTCTCTTTTTTTCTTTTTTAATGTGACTCGGAATTGAGCAGAACTTTAAGTTAACAGAGCATAACTCCGTTAATAACCATGGAACGTGATTTAACGGTGGTGCACAGGTGTACGAAAGGGGGAGATGGAGAGGAACAATACTCACTCCGTCAATAGAGACGGATTGCTGTTAAGATCCGAATCCAGATCAGCAGCAGTTACGACGACGTCGTCTGACTTCGTGTTGCAGTGGGGGAACAGAAAAAGGCTCCGCTGCATGAAATCCCAGGCCAAGGACCATCATATTAACAAGATTAATAACTCCTCCGGTTCTGGACCGGTTCAGCGTGCAAACACCTCCACCCGAATCGACAGGCGGGTCATAAGGTCGGATCTCAATCATACTAAAGATCCGAATTCAAAAAATAATGACGCTGGTAAGAGTAACGGATATTTGAATCTCCGTCAGCGTCCGGCTTCTCCGTCTCGTCGAATCTTGAGGTAAGCTAGCTGCCTTTTCTTTTTTTTTTTTTTTTTTTCCTTTTATCTAATATAATATAATTGTTTTTGTGGTCTTACGTGAGTTCCACGCGGGGATAAGATGGTAATAATGGTTGAAATGATTTGTTTACTATTTCTATGTTTAAATCCTAAATGTGATTTATTAATAATTAATAGTTAATTCAATGAATTTTGCGAGTAAAATACTTTTGTGACAAAATAATTAGGTCAAGGGGTTAGTTGCTCTATTGATGGGGACGAGCGTGCTAATATGCCAGTAAAGGATATTTAATATTTTTTAATCGCAAATTCTTTTTTCTTTGAAAAAGTTGATAAGAAATTTATGGCGTGCTGATTGCTCTATTTCGTCAATTATTAATTAAGTAATAATAATTGATTTATTATTATTTTTTGTTTATCAAGCAAAAATCAAAATTTATCAAAATCAAGCCACCATGTTTAGCAAAATTGCAGAAACACCCCTTGCCTTTTTCTTTCTTGCGGAAAAGTGGGCCATTATTATGAGTTGTTTATTTGGTAGGTTGTTTAGATCCACGACACATATATAGAATAAGATTGGGACACGTAACCTGTCTCAAATTGGACGGCTCAGATTCCTCAAATGAAACACTGTATTTGCACAGAATATATACACACACGATCCACAAATACTTTGACCCTTGTATATCGAAAAGCTGACCACATCCTCACTTTTAACAACCATCCCCCATTTTCTAAGCAAAATTGGTCGCCCAATTCTGTGATCCTCCTCAAACACTACCCCACAAGGCTATTCCTGTAATTTCCTTCCTTCCCTTGAAAATCTGTTACTTTTTTTTTTTTTTTTTTTTACCGTGTTTTTTTATTTATTGTATTAAATTTTGTTACATACTAATTTAATTATTTTTCGATTGTCTCAATCTTGTAGATATTTAGATAGTATTTGTCCTTTTTTTTTTTTTTTTTTTTGCTCTATAGTCTTAGATTTATTATATGATGATGCACATATTCTGAAATCTGATTTATTGTGTTTTGATTCAAAATTAGGAATTCAGAGAGTTCAATTGGTATGAGGGGACAACAAAGCAACGGAGTTAGGGGATTTACATCTCCAGATAGAGGAGAAAAGAAAAGTGGTGCCTCAATTATTATTAATAATATTAATAATAATAGCAGCCACCACCACCATACTAACAAGAACACCACCAACAATAATAGTATTTACAATAATGACACCAACCACCACCACGGCGGTGGTGGTGGTGGTTCTGGGTCAACAGAGACAGGCCAAGACGGGAAAAAGGGCGGCTCATCCTCCGGCGGCGACACGATCGCCGCCGTGTGGCCGCCGAAGTTCGTGATCGCCTTAACGAATAAGGAGAAAGAAGAGGATTTCATGGCAATTAAAGGGTCCAAGCTTCCACAGAGGCCCAAGAAACGAGCCAAGTTTATTCAGCGCACACTCAATGTAAGTCTTTTTGATGAGCTGTTCTTGCTTCTAATTTGAGTTTAAGTTTTCAACAAGCATGAAATCAGTATTACATTAAATGATTTGTTTATTGTATTAGGTGGGGAAAATGTGATACTGTTTTTCATTAACTACTGTATATTTTTTCCACCGGTTCAGTAACTGAAATCCGTGTGCTAATGAACTAAGATTATACAATTAATATTCGAAATAAAATAAAATCTTGCTATTGTAAATGCTATACATAATTTAGCTACAAAGAATAATTTTAGATAATTTTTTTTTTAAATTGATATTTGTTGATAGCATGAAGCATGTGAGGGCTGACATATATAAGACGTGGCCTTTGGAATAATGGACTTACTAGAAGTCATACAAGGCTAGGTGTACACGTGCCCTTTTCCACATTAATTTATTTATAGATGGGGCCATTTAATTTAATTTTTTAATTTTTTTTCGGTATAATAATTTTTACTGTTTGAATTGACATAGTCAACTACTCCCAAAGGAAAATTTGTTAATTGGCCTAGTATATCTTTTATATGATTATCTTGTACATATAGTAGAGGCACCATTTAATATTTGGAGTAATTTAATAAATTTGAATTTTGTATGGAATAATATAATGTGGGAGGAATATGCCAATCACACACACAGTGGTGGTGTTGGTGGGTACTTGCTTTTCATGTTTCTTCTTTGGTTCAGTGGGTGAACCCCATTAATGTTTCTCAAACACACCAAGCACAACAAGACAAATTACAGCACATTGTCTTTCTTTTTTTAATTGTTTGTATTCTCCGTTTGTGATGAATAAAATTGTTAATTATCTTCACCAAACACTTAACATAACAATTATGTGACATTGCAATAATAATCAACATAACAATTATGTGACATTGCAATAATAATCGAATCGACGGATAAACGAACTTAAAATTTTACTAATTAATTGTTGTTTTGCATATATTGCAGCTGGTGAGTCCAGGTGCATGGTTATGCGATTTGACTCTTGAACGTTACGAGGTCAGAGAGAAGAAGGTTTCCAAGAAGGTACTACCTTTTCCCTTTAGGATCGATTTTTTTTCTATTAATCGAACGGCAACAGCTCGTTTATTGTTATCGTTTTTATGTTCGTCATTTTACTCTTGTAATAATTATTTATAACAAAGGGCCGGGACACTGTTAATTTTTCAGAGACCAAGAGGTTTGAAGGCTATGGGAAACATGGAGTCCGACTCGGAGTAGACGGAAATTAATTAATCAATTAATTGTGAAACAACTAGCTAGCCTTAAATTTTCTGAAGAAATGCGTTGAAGTTTTTCAGCTTTCAGCTTTGAAGAAAAAATATATATATCTCTAAATATGTCTCCTGTATCTTTGTACCTCACCATTTGGTGCTAAATTTATATACCGTTTAATACAATCAACTTGTGTTGTGTCTTTCTCTTTTATTTATTTATTATTATAAATTTTTTTTGTTGCACAAATAAACAAATAAGTCAAGTCAATCTTTTTTTTTTTTTTTTTTTTTTTTTTTTTTTTTAATTTATGAACACTTTTTTTGCTTGACCAACTTTATATCTCCTAAATGAGGGGGCCCATGAAAAGAATAGTCGAACCGAATCACCAAATTAAAAGCCCACTTGGATTTTCACCTATAAGAACCCAACGAAAAGCCCACTTGATTTGTTTTAGTATATATTTTTTTTATTTGATAAATAAAGCGTAGCTCAATTAACCTAAGAGTGCGTTTGGATGGAAGGATTTGGGGAGATATTTGATTTGGGGAAGGGATTTAAAATGACTCCAATTTTGGAGTCATTTGAAATCCACCTCAATTGCTCAAAACATAACTAAAAAGGAGGGGTGTGGATTTGAAATCCATCCCCAAATCCCTCAATCCAAACAAGTCCAAGGGATTTGTTATTATGGATTTGAAATCCCTTCCCCAAATCCTTCCATCCAAATGCACCCTAACATATTTAACGAATCAAATAGTAAGATTAACTAGAAGATTCGGATCTGTTGAAATTTGAACGAATCAAAGCAAACAAAGAAATTAAAATATTTCCAGAAAAACAAGATATCAAACAGAGAAAATGTGGGATAAATCGAAAAGAATGAAGAATATTTCCAACTGGTGGAATGGAATCCTCTAAGAACAGAAGCAAACAAACGCCAAACAGAGATCTGCACAGCACACAAAATGAACTCAAAAAGTAATGCCTAAAATGCAATCAGCCTATACATACACACTATATATACTACATATTCTCAGATCCTCAGTGCGGAGCCAAAGATGAACGAAGCTACGGCGACGGCGCAACCAACCGCGAACGACGGAGAAGCAACTCCGGCGGATGATGCCGGCGCTGGAGCCGGAGCCTCTTGTGCCGCTGAACCACCGATGAGGGCGAAAATTGCCACTATTGCAGTTGCAACCAGTAAAGCTTTCGTCTGAGACACCGCCATTGCAACGCCTGCGTGTTTTTGAAAGGTGTATTAGTGCGTGTAAGAGTGTAGGAATTCGAGATTCAAGGGTGTTCGTCGCTTTATATACCGAGTGAGAAGTGGTGGGTGAGGGCGTTAGGGGCAGAGGCTAGGTTGTACGGGCAGCTGCCCGAATTTACAACTGGCGATTGGTGGATAGACAGCTGGTTGATACGACAGCGTACTGAACTCATCAGCAATCATTTTATTTCGGTGGTTCCTTTCCTTTTGTGAATTTCGAATTATAAAACTGAAATGCTATTCATAGAACAACTTTTACCGGCTTGTAGTGCGACTTTATTTCATTTGTAACTTTTCTTAAGAAAATTCAAAATTCTCTCAAACCCTATCCAAGGTTCTTCGAGTTCTTGCGGATTAAACGAGCAATTCAACAACGATTAAGGTAAAATTCGAACTCGAAATCATTGACCCAATGTTTCTATAGTAGTATTTTAACAAATTTCGTCGAAAATCTATACGTTTTGAGTATTTTGATTGTGTTCGAAAGTTTTCGGAAATAAACTTTCATTTCGTGTAGAAACGCACGAAATGTAGGGGTTAATTTCGTGAGTTTGTACACGAAATTCACGTATTTGTTAGTTTTTCTTACGTTTCGTGTACAATTACACGAAATGTAAG